CGCATTTGAACGGGATAAAGGCAAAAAAAGTGTTGTATGCGCTTCTATGCTAAAACGATGGGAATACGAGGTCTCGGAGTGAAAATTGAATTGACCTGGAAATCACAGATGGCGCAGGGGGTCCCTCTGCAGTCAATTAGGGCCCCAGAAAGCATGAATCCAGAGGATTTCTGGAGTTTTACTTCGATTTCTTTATATTTATTGTACGAAAACGACAGGTGGAGTATGCCATTTGGTACAATAGCCAATATAATTCGACACAGCTGTCAATATAAAAACGAACGTCGGCAACGTGGGCATTTAGAAAAATCTTCTTTATCGACGTCGATCAAGTTCTTCGACGTGTTTCACTTCACCTTAAGATGACCGTTTTAATAAATGCTGGATCTCATATTTAATGACGGGAAATACATTACCGGCGTTTACGTGGACGTTTATTAAGGAGGCTTTTCAGGCGGATTTTCGGGGCGGGTGAAATTCAACAACCCTGCTTAACCGTGACACGATCTTGAGCCAGAGCAATGCCGTAACTGGGGCAGTGCAACCGGTGTCCCACCACCGGGTTTAGAATTGCGGGCCGAGGAGGAGGTAAAAAATGGATTGTTTACCTTTTACGTAACTTAAAGTGAGGCAATTATTTTTATCTATACGTGCCTTATACATTGCTTAATATATATAATAAGTACAGGCCGTTCTTCCGAAGGGTTGATGCAGGGTAATGGATCTTGCAATGGTAGCTGGATGTTGAGCTGATTAAGTAGGTTCAAAAATGCTTTTTAGTCGTAAACACAATGTCAAGGTGGTTTCAGAGACTAGAAGCGATTATTTAAAAACTGATGGTATGGATTTTTGACAAAGATTGTGGTGCCAAAGATATATCTCAATAATTGTAGGGCGAAAATAAATGAAAAAGTGGTTCCTATTGGATTTTTTTGTTCACTAGGAGCTGGATTATTTTCCTTGGAATGATCGGGCCATTGATTCTAAAAATAATCTCTTCTAGTTTCTAAAACTACCTTAACTTCTTATGTCGGGCCTACCGTTCACCAAGAAACATGTAACACCGTGAACCAAAAATCAAACGTTTCCAGCCCTCACGAGCCCACTGTTTTCAAGCATTTCGAAACTGTCTCATCTTAAATTCTCCGTAAAACACGAAATAAAAATGCCCCGTGAGAAAATACTTTCTACGCCGTTTCGTTCTCTTTCATAAACTCACTTCGATTAAAACGCATTTCACAACCTACTAAACCTCTTAAATGGTCCTTCGTGATTTACGATTCCACGCGAAGATCTCTGAAACGGCTCTAGAAAATGAAACTATCTCGACATCTAAATACAGCGCAATGAAAATATACGTTAGTTTGGCTTTGTCCGAGTATCGCTGTGTTACGTCACGTCACATTAAACGGTAACTGCCAAATTGACCGTCGTGTCGCACCGGAAATTTATTCCACGCTCGCGGGATTATTTTGGCGCGAGAAGAAAGGCGACCGTTCTGGGTGCTCGGCCTGAGAAAAAAATAGGAAAGGTCGATTACGCCCGCAGTTGCGTTCACCGTTAACTGAAAGGTCACGTAGCGAAGTTTCCTACGGGAGGAGGAGCAGAGGCGTCCCTGTTCTCGAGCAAAGAAGTGCATCGGCACTTGCACCACTGCACGTACTCGAGTTAGCGATCTCGATGCTTCCCGATGAGACCGTATGGTGGCGCAACGCGAAGTGAAAACTTGCACCGAAATATACCCATTAACGATGAGTATACTCAATCGCAGAGCTTATCAGGGTATCTTATTAAAATCGCCGCGAAAAATCAATGTTAAATTATTCAAATCTAGTGCGGTATTAAAAAGCAACATAATGAGTCCACGAACGATGTATTAGAAGTTCTATTTAAATACGATATACTAAATTTGACGCACTAGTAGATGTATTTAATGTACAGGTTTTATAGCCTTATAAGTTGCATTGAAAAATCCCCGATAAGATGTAAATTTTTGAAGGATAGGATTTTTTTTTTGTAAACTAAAAGTGTTTGGATTTTACAAACGTTTTTAACGGTGTAGAATGGCAATGAAATACCTTGGGGGGGAAGCAAAATGACGTTCTATATTTTGTTTTTCTAACTTTTTATGTTATGGAAAGCAGGAAATTGAAGGGAGGTACGAGGAATGGATTGCATTTTTTGCGGGGAATAATCGAGTCTTTGTGCGTCGTTGGAGTGATAAGGAAAAAATGGAGTACCGATCGGTTCACAGTGTTCGATAGAGTACGATCATGGATTGGTGAATAGGAACATTCATGCGCCTCCACGGGGAGTACTTCCAGGTCGCTCTCTCGTTCGTTTTCGTCTAAACGCATCGCGGAAAGTTTTTAATATCTTTTCTTTAGACAGGACACGATCTGATTAAAGTCTGGGCTGAACAACACCCAGTCGGAATGTCTTTGTCATTCGATCCTGTAGATTCGCCGGACGCACTCGCGTGTACGCAACGAATGACCGTTTCACGCAGTGCGTGCAATGCGAAATGACAGCGGTTATCTGATTCAGTTGCAGATGAGCAAAACGCTCGGTTCTGCCATGAAGCGGTAACGTGGGAACCCGTGTTTAAATGGCCAATTTGACTTGCAGGCTTTACCTTCGGTGCGCATCTTGGAACGCTAGTTTTTATTTACATACCTGAATTCCGTTGGAACGAGTCTTGCGCACAATTATTCGACATTGGGAACGGAAATCATATCACAGGTTCGGCATAATAAAATATTAATAAAACATGTCAGGTCAGGGTAATGGGAACAGAGAAGCGGCTCCGCTAGGAACATAATTCTACTGGTTCCAAAGGATATTTTAATTCCCTCAGTTTTAAACGTAATTTTTCAATTTTGTTATATAGATTAACGCTGGTTAGTCGATGTTGGTGTAAATACTCAACGTAATTATCCACTGATAATTCCAAGGCAGGTCATTTGTTATTTTTTTTTTTTTTTAAATACGGGAAAGTGCGATCGATGCTCGGGACGATTTTTTAAATTTCGTTCATCTCTATCTTGCAGTCGCTAGTTCTCGTTAAGTAGATCGGCGTTATCACGAACCTCGAGGTGAAATTATCCAAAAATAGACGCCGAGCTCGGTTACGAGAATCATAGTTGCTTAGGAAGCCTTTCGACGCACACGAAGCCGAAGTACTTATTCTCGAGCATCTCTTGTATTTATCCTATTTATCTAGACTCCTTTTACAGGTCCGTGGTGATCGAAAGTAACTAGAATTCTCATTTGCTAGACTTAAGTGAGTTTACCGATGGTCTCGGTAATCTAGCTTCGCTTGCCGAGGCGGTACCTCCGTTAAGGTTGGATTACGGCGGCCTGTTAATTACGCATAATTCACCTCGGTTAATTTATATTGTCGAAATGTGGCATAATTGATTCCGAGGAGAGAAACAAAGTGACGACACGATTCTCCGCAACAACTTGCAAGTTAACTCGTTGGGTCTTCCTTGCACTTTCATTTCCGGTTTTCTAGAAATAATTTATCCGGCCATTTGTTAGTGCACATTTCGGAGGATATTGTAACTTGATTACAATCACTGTTAACGAGTTTCCAGACAAAGTAATAAAAATCATTTCCTTATTTCGCGAGCCGTTCTCGGTAGCTACTGTCGATTTAGCGCAAGTGATGCAGCGGCTCGCCAGGAAAGAAATCCACCACCGTCCTCAGGGAAAACCTGACATTTTTCACCACAATTAAACCCAGGCGGGCAGAAACCGTCGATTTGCGGATTTCTTTTTGCCTTAGACAGAGAGAGGCGTAATTTCATTAACACGTGGAAATCTGCAGCGCGTTGCGCTCTCGTTGAATTCTATCTACGGGTTTGACTTTCACCGGATATATTCGAGGCGACCGTGTACATACGTGCCGCCAACGCGTTTACGCTTTGTGCACGCACGAAATGTTATTTCGAAAAGGAATTGAGGGAATGAAACATCGAAAAGTTAACCAGCCGTGGTTCATTGCGAAAACCTAGGAGTTGCGCCTGCGTTACGTGTCGACGCTCAGCACGCCTTACAATCGGTTGCAATTATTCTGTATTAGCCGCACCAGCGAAACGCTCCGACATAATGTTTTTTTTCCAACATGCGTCATTTTCCAAAAAAACAAATGAATGTGTTGACTGTATCGTAATTCGTAATCTTTCAGACTCCCCTTTTGTTTTTTTCCAACACGCGTCATTTTCAGGAAAAAAAAATGTGCTGACTGTATCGTAACCTTTTAGACTCCCCTTTACAGTGTGGTTATGACTTTGCCGAGCTTAATTTAAACTCGCTTTTTTTCGAAAAAAAAAAAGAACGAAACGGACAAAAATCCTACAAATATTTGGTTTAGATTTCATTCGGTGAGTTTGGGAATTTAAATCGACGGATTTCTATTCATAGCTATACACAATTTTCCAAATTAGAATGTAATTCTCCTTTATGCAGTACATGACAACATGTTTAAACAATGTAGAGCATGTTACCTTTAATTCAATATTTACAACCATTCATATTTTTACATAATTATTATACGTTACAAATATCAATCCTTGCAGAAAGTGATTTTCCTAACCAATTGACTTACTGAGCCATTCTGTCCCTTTACTCTCAATTTGTATCAAAACATCGTCGTTTGTTATTCAGGAGTCACCTAAATTATTGGTTCCGGACCGCTTGTTTACGTCATGGATAAGCATTATCGGCTGTAATTCATTGTTTTCGAGAAAGAGATTCGGTAATTGGCAACGCCGATGTAGGTATTGGTGAGCACAGTCCTCGCCATGAATTCCTAACCTACAATCTTGACCGCTTTGAGCGTCTCTAATTTTTCCCGTTCCACGTCACTGGGTCGGATCAGTGGCATTGGTCGGTTCCGCTGTGACGTCACCGGGATCCATGGTTACGCAGTGGCGTCGACACCGGATATCTTCCGCTTCCTTTGATGTACTAACCGAGTCTATTTCCGATTGCAGCGCCTTACGAGGGTGGAATATGGAAGGTGAGGGTTCACCTGCCCGAACATTACCCTTTCAAGTCGCCTTCGATCGGCTTCATGAACAAGGTGTACCACCCTAACATCGACGAGGTCTCGGGCACCGTGTGCCTTGACGTCATCAACCAGGCCTGGACAGCCTTGTACGGTACGCGAGTTGGTTTCACACTCGGTAACTTAAACCTAATCGCTCTCTGAAACGGCCTCGTAGGTCGACCATCGACGGGATAAATCTCTTTATATTTTAGGTTTTAATTCGTAGCCTCTAGAGTTTCGTTCGTTAAGGTGACACGAAAGTGGCGTCTGAGGGATCTCGTTTATGGAACTTTTCTCCGAAATGGGTGTACCAAATCGTTGGAGCTCTCACCATATGAATGCAGAGGCTCGAAGGGAGGTATTGATTCACAAAAAAATAGAAAAAAAATAGTTTATAAACATTTTTATAATTTTGTTATTAAAATTAAAATTTCAAGGGTGTCGGAACCTTCATCAGAGCATTCTCATGGTAAAATGTCAAACGATTCGGTACACTCTGGAAAAAGTTTTATAAACGCTTGACCTCTCAAATACCACTTTCATATAACCTTAAAGTCGTAGCAAAGGTATCCAGTTGAACACTTGATAAAAGAAGAATTTAAGTGGTCGAATCGCAATAATGTCTTATGTTCCTATCACGTGATCATTTCCAAGTTAGGAATGACACCCTTGACCAAGATTACCTTATATGTGACAAAAATTCAGATGGTTCCTTGTGCTTAATTTCTAAGAACAGGAACTAACGAGTAACTAAGAGTGAGAGAATGGAAACGCTCTGCTTAAAGAATTAAAACAAGTATAGAAAACAAATCTCCATAGGCATGGTTGCCCTGTACATAATGGTTCGTGGAGGGGATGCCCACTTATCGCAGTTTCTCCTTCTACAAGTACGTAATATTAATTATAGGTCGGGTCTCCGGTAGAAATATAAGGAGGCATTTAATTGGATCCTCTTCGTGCACTTTTTTTACCCATATGTACCGGTCCCCACGACCAGCGCATTAAAAAAATTGTTACGGTATCGTATGAAACATATTTGCAATTTGCACATATCGAAAGTGTATGTCAACCGGTTTAACACTCGATAACCGAATGCTCTAGTCGTATGATACAGCCTCGTAGGTCAGGCGTAACCAAGACAAGCCGACACGGACGTTTGTTTTTATTTGATTTTTTAATTGGCCACAAGAAGTGCGAGTTACGAAAGTATAGGAACGGCACAGATCTGCAATATACAGATAAGTAGATGAATATTTAATTAAAATCTTCTTCCGCTTTTCTTTCAGATCTCTCGAACATCTTCGAGTCTTTCCTGCCACAGCTTTTAACATATCCCAATCCAATCGACCCCCTAAATGGCGACGCCGCAGCGCTGTACCTCCATAAACCTGAGGAGTACAAGAAAAAAGTCACGGGTGCGTTATAATACGTTACAATACGTTATAATACGTTATAAAGGTCTTCCCGAGTACGATATTAACTGTTTAAGAAGCTTGCATTACAGTCCGTATATAACGACGCATAATGTAGCAGGTCCTCTCCGTGCATAATTTACTAGGTCATAAATTCACTTCCTTTTTTATTCACTTGGAAGTTTTTAAGTGCACTAAGGATTTTAAGTCCGAATGTCGTTAAAACGAAGTTTGCAGACAATAAGAGAAGATTAATACCCTTGCGAAGTACACGTCAGATTCATGGCTGAATTAAACAACGTCATATCTCGGAAGCTTTCTTTGACTCGGATTCGTTTGGTAGTCGGGGGTGCGAGGAAGCTTTTAAACGAGTACTAACGTTGCCATTTGTTGTTCGACAGACTACGTTAGGAAGTACGCGACGGAAGAGGCGCTGAGGGACCAGGAAAATGGCGGGACCGGCAACGGCATGTCGTCGGACAGCGAATCGTCGATGAGCGACTTCAGCGAGGACGAGGCGCAAGATATGGAGTTGTAACCAAATATTTTACCATCCACCGCCCCCACGTCCCTAGTCCCGAGTCCCTGTAACCCTCGATCGCTCGTCCTACCAAATAGATGCTTCTTCACGACCCTTCGCCCTGCCCCGATCGTCCCTCCTCACCTCTCGACAGGAACTTCTTATAGTCTCGTCAAGAAGCGATCGGTCGTCGCGCGACCGCGGATCGTGGACGTGCGAATTACCGTTTAGTCATTCGAAAATAAGATGGACGGGTCCTCGACTCGTCCGCGCCCCGTGGGGTGTGTTCAGAATCTTTTAGGAGATGCGTTTGGGCGACTTCCGCGGAAGCCATCGTGTCCTAGACCCGGATAGACTCGGAGCGGAGGGAGACGATACAGGTCGACCGGAGCGCACGATTTCTCGCCATCCTCCCAGAACTTTTCTCCATATCGAATTCGAACGGCAGACACCATGAGGCTACGTGTAGGACGGGTCTTTGGCTCGATTTTACCACTTATGGTTCGTTTCCAGACGATGTCTAGGTCCGGCGACTTCCTTTCTTGAGCGCGCGACCTATCAGTTCCCGATTATTATAAGGAGTTTCCTTTCGGTTCCCTTCTCTAAGAAGTCGTTGATATCGTGGCTGATATCTCGTTGACTTAGGTCTTGAAACAACCTGTAGTCGCGTTTTGAAATCTTGACTACGGGCTTACGAGTGGCGGTTCGGATCCGTGCTTTCCGATGTACTGGGTCAAATTGTGCGAAACTGGACGCGCGCGTTGCGAAGCGTCCTTTCATCTCGTCTTGTTCCTTGGATCCGATTTCCTGCGCATTTTCTATCGATCGATCACACGTGACAAGATGGACCTTGTACAAAACGAAGCGTCGTTCCATCTCGTCTCGTCGCGTCTCGCCTCGTCTCGCCTAGTTTTGTCTTCTGGACCGGCAGTCTTAAATTCTAAGGAATATAAGGAAGGTTTTCCTAAATACGAGCACAGATTATTGAAATAATGTACGGGACGCGACGAGTGCTCGGTTCTAATTGGAATAAAAACGTTGTCTTTATACGTTCGTTCTGGCTTGATGTATGACAATACGGAGATGCGCGTTAAGATTTCTCGTTGCAATGTTCGGCACCTTCGAGATATACGTAGAAGTTTCGCAGCGGATTCGCTTGGTGGCTGGCAGATCCTTCTGCATTCTTTTTCCTCTCTCTCTCTCTTTCTCTCAACATTTTAACGTTGTTCGTGCAGACAATGAAGTTTGCGTGATTCAATTTTATAAATTTAATTTGTACGCGTAGTAAGAAGAAGTCTAACGGGAGCGCGGCACGTTCTTTCGGAACTTCCGTGTATGGTCATTGTGTTAAGGAAACCTCGGCAAGTATTTGCATTCCATTTCTGATAGTGCACGACGAGGAAGCGTTGATTACGATATCGTAAATGATTTCAGTACTTTGTGCTCATATTCGGCAAATCTTTTACTGGTGTGCGATGTACGGTGGAAAGGATGGGATGAGTTTCTACGGATATGCTACGTTCACATCTACGTTCGAGATCTGTCTCGTGTGCTGCTGTTATTTGTTAATCGGTCGGGTGTATGTCCTTCGCACAACTAGAAAATACTCGGAACATCACGGTTCTCTGTACATGCGAAACCGTGGGATTGATTTGTTGCTAGTCTTAATAAAAAGATTTAGCATTTCGCGTGCACGGAGAACCGGAAGAAGTAACTCGAAGGACGTATTCGCGTAGCAAGTACAAAAGGAAGTATTCGGCGAGGTCAGACTCCTTAAGCTTTAAGAGAAGTTCTCGACGAAGTACCTAATCTAATCATCACTGTCAATGGTCTCATGTCTTTCGTCATTCTCAGCAGAGAAAGGAGTAGAAAAGAGCAAATGGCGTGTCTGTACCACTGGTTCCTTTATTATTTAAGTTTCACTTTTATTTCTCAGGCTCTTTCAGGGCACTCGGAAACTGTTTCTTCGCACACCTCGTCTCTGTCCAGAGTTCGGGGGGTGAAAGACTTTTTATTTTATTTTTATTCAAATAACGAAGTGGTATAAATCTAACGGTAATTCTGTTAAATGGTAAATAAAATTATTTTTCGCTGACTTACGGTTTTGGCATAGTATCGGTATAGAAAGTACTTTTTACAAATTTAGAAGCTTTTATTTCGACATTGGGATTCAATGATTCCGTTTTTCCGCTTATCGGTAGTCTTGGAATTTTATCACGTATCAATCGTTGCTTTTGTTTTTCTTTACCCATATGTGGTATCAGAGAGAGGAGTCCTCTGACAGACATTAGAACATCCTGCGCTCGAACAACCGCCAAAATCTACTTCGACTTCGAGTTTTTGGTCAATGTTGTACTAATTCTCATGCTTCGGGCTTGCGAACTTTTTCCGGGAGAGCTCACTTTTATTTCCATTCCCAAAGCCATAATCACGCGTTAAAAAAAAAAAACAAAAAAAACCGAATGTCATACTGGAACCATTCCTAACTTCTTCCTTTCCGATACGATTCCCGGTTTCCCTCGCAGGACTTTACCACACGAAAACGTCACGGAGACCTTGAGAACGACCTCGAAGAAGTCACGAAAACGGCCGAGCGAGGAAGTCGGCGATCTTGCACCTCTTCTGAAAGTCATCCGTTCGTCCTCGTCGAGGAGAAAAAGTCGAACCCGAATTTGCGACGCCGACCAGGAAACCTCGACCTCTTCTTCGAGAACTCTGCCAGGATCCTCTTCGGATGTTTCGGATCTTTTAAACTCGCAGAGTGACGTCGACATGAATTGTCCTCGGCAACGCTCAGAAAGTCATCGCGATCCCGAAGATCAACTCCAGGAGACGAGCATGGAGGTCGATACGGCCGATTCAGAAGGAAGTGATAACCCCGATGTTAACCTCGAATGACCTTAAGCAATCTCGCGGTTCTTCGCGATTTTTGGCCGATTTTACGGAATTTTTGTACGACTGTGTCGTGATATTCTACGTTATGTCGAATTTAGTGCAAAGGTCACCCTAGAACTTTTAACCGTTTATAGAGATTTTTGCTTCATTGTGGCAAAGCGATAAAGAATATTTCAGAGTAAAGCAATTCTGTACACTGCGTACTGATAAAACAAGAATTTCCATTAAATTTGAAGTAGCAAATACGTGGCATTTTTGCAACTTTTGTACTATGTGAAATTAGTAGAATTTTATTTTAACGATCCAGAGAAATGGAGAACGAATCGTGGCGTATTTTAACCTTGTAAACTTTTGTTCAGAAATATTTGATATGCGTCGGTTCAATTGGTGTTAAGACCATATTATTGTACGGCCAAAGTGACACATTATGGTTGCTTTTTATTTATTACTTTTTAAAATAAGATCTGCCTATAAGCCACGAAACATTTGATGCGTGTTCTCAGATGACCATTCTTAAAGGGTGTTCTATTATCGAATTTTGTTTTTCCGTTCAGCGATCAGAGATTCAAGGTCATTCGATCGGTGCATTCGATCCCTCAACCGCAAGATATGATCCTAACATTACGCGTCTTACCCTGGTCTTCCTTCAGCAGGACTCGTGACTTTCTCGAAATAATCGTCGCGTTTTGTAAGCGTACAAAATTAGAGGGTAAACCGTTGACGCGATAAATGCATAGCGATAATTGCGTCATAAAATTCTCCATAATCTGCTTATGTTTACCATCATTCGATGACATTCGACGATCGATCTTGCGAAGTATTGTGAACGGGAGAGTAATATTAACAATTAACATGCATGTATTATCGAAATTTGTCGAGGAAATCCAATTTGTCATCGGTGTATCGTGTATACACGTAGGCGGTATGTAGGCTTTATAAAGCGCACGTGCACAGGGTGCACACATCTTTGCGGAAACATATGGCGTTTCGGTATGCAATCTTTACGAGGAATATCTTGATGTATCGCGTGTCGCAGTATCGATCGGAATCGCAGTGCCTTTAGGGCGAAGTAGCGTGCCTTAATATCGCATTTTCCTTGCCTAGACATCGGAGAACTTCTCGAGAAGTCTGTCGGGTTTCCTGGACCAGCGTTTCAAAAGCTTTCGGAATCGCTTACAAGGAGTTACGTGGACGCACGAAAAGGCGCAAAACGACCGCTCGTTTCTTTCGACCGAAAAACTCGATCCTTTTCCCTGGCCGATGAGAATAACGCAAAGGACATATACCAATCCCAGCCTTGTCATTTTTGTCACGACTGTAGCTACTAGAATCGCGTTAACTGTCTCTCACTGTTTAGTATAGTGCAAAGTGTGTTTACAGTTTAACGATCTACTAGCAAGACGAGAACAAAAAAAGAATGTAATGGAATAATATAAATATCTTTTTTATAAACGGACGAAATATTTTGTAATAAAATAATTATCAAGTATATACCGCCGTAGAGTTCTTCACTGAGGATAGCTTCACTGGGTGCTGGGTGTATTTTTGAGACGTGTGACTCGTGTTTAAGCTCGATAATTATATTCCGAATCTGCGGGTTTTTTTTTTTTTTCAACTAAGTTCGTTATTAATTATGAGTTTCGTATATATGTGTACATATATATGTATATTCATTGATTGTTATAAATTTATGGGATAGTTTTGCATTTTTATAGGATATATCGTCGGATGATATTTGGGTGTTATGCGAACTTATTTGATTTATTTCATTTGAGTATGTACAATTATTTAAGTTTAACGCGATATTACGAAGTTTCCAAATTTTTCTTAAGAGACAAACAGTCCTTTATGGTATTTTCATCGGTGCATTCTTTTCGACACATGCGCCGCTCTTATTTTCGTGCATCGCGGACTGTCGTCATTTCCATCCTGAGAAGCAGTCGCGCTTTTCCCTTATGCCGAACGGCAAATCTTAAGGAAATTTCTGTAAAATTAATATCCAGGGAGTAATGGAAAAAATATGCGACAGGGTCATGATTAAAGAGAAGAACGAAACTGCCATTACCTTTTTTGGAGTAGCTCTGAGTTTGCTCGTACATAGAGAATGAATTTTCATTGCAAAATGGTTGTCAAGGTTTCGCGCAATTATTGCACCGCTGACCTTGACTTGTCTTTTTAAAAATATTTCCTTTCTTTATTTGTAGCACTGCAAACGGCTTTGTAATTATATGTATAACTTTGTACCTGGAACAAACATCTCAAACGCATACATTTAATTGAATTTGAGTATCTAACGATACATTGATTTTAACCATTATTTAAAATTCTTAACTGAAATATTTTTCTCAAATTTTTGTTTATATAAAGTAGGTCATATGTGAGATAATTAAGGTCATCGAAATTTTGATGACGTTCTCTAGAGCTTCATTTTCGAACACCATGTGTAGTTATATGATAACTGATGCTCAGACATACTCTGTACAGCACTAAGCAATTACCATTACAACTTCTCGGAGTAACATTTTACTAAGACACATCGAATTACAACTTCCAAAATGTACAAAAATTGTTAATCACTTGCTAAAGCGAGGTAAATATTAACGCGAGATGTATATTAAGACGAGCTTCTGCATTATAGGCTGAGGTGGATGAGTCGGGAGATACTCATTGCAGTCTGTTTTATTTCCGAGGTATTTTAAAACATTTATTTCCTACGAGACATGTCAAGTTTTTGAACATTTTCTTTCTTTCATAAGGGGTTGTGATCGTTATTCGTTGGCTTGATTGCAAATTTTTCTCACTACCAGCATGATACTATAGCGCAAATTTGGTAGCGATTCGTTGTTATTAAAATAAGACAGCTGCTTTCGCAAAGAGAGGTCGATTAAATACGAAGGAAAATATGAAATGAGAAAAAAAAAAAAAGCGACGGAGACGAGTGCTTCTCTAGGTTGGAATAACAGAGATGGTACCATCGTGCTCTCAGATCTCACACATTGCGATTACTAATAAGAGTTATTATATTGATTAGTTGTACGTTAATTTTCGTATTCGTATTTTGCGTAAGCACCGGTCAATCTACTAATAAATTATCTTAACGTATAGTTTTAGTGAATTTGGATGAGATAATCTTTAAGTTAATAATGATAATAATAATATTCTTGTTTTTCTTTTGGATATGGTCTTTTGTTTCTTTTTATCATGTTTTATTTTTTTATTTTCTACAGGTTTCCGGATTTGGTTGGTGATTTTTGGTGATTGTTTTTTTGGGGTTTTTCTATATTAGGCTGGGCAACCTTGAGAGAATGTGTTTTAACCCCGTCGGAATCAGTGAAAAAAATGTTATTTTTTTTAAGTATGTATAGTTAAGCAAAGGGATAATTAAGATGGGATGATGAAACCGAGGAAGTGATCCGTATAGCTAAAGCCATTCTTTGAATGAATTACATTGTTAAGGGGAGAAACTGTACGTGAAATGCAAATTTTTGACTTTCCATTGGAAATGTACGTCTTTCCCTGTTGTTGAAAATACTGAATAAAACGGTTGTTGGAGGAAGGTTTAGTTATATAGGATTTCATTTGTTGAGTGAGTCACAGGAATGGCTCACTAGGATTCTTTGAATACAATCAAAGATAGTTATATTCATCACGGTTTGCTTCTACTTCAACTGAATTGTATGAAGTCCAATGTAGTTCTTTCATGTGACATACAAACATGTCCAAGCTGTGAGATATCGTCGTTATCTATTACAATAATATATAAATTGAAGTCTGTTAAGAATTACGTATCTCTGGAAGCCTTTCAGTTTCAGTTACCTTCGATTTTAAGAAGTCGCCGAATTATAATTATTATTTTCAATCAAGCACCGATGATTCAATTGAGTTATGCAGGCCGCAAAAGTCAACAAAGCATATAAGACCATATACATTGAAATACAAAATTTCTAGGACAATATTTCAAAAGTTTCCTGATAGTTTTTCAAAAGGAAAGATAACTGAACAACTCTAAGGAAAATGTTTTGAATTCTTGAAATCAAAAGCTGCCAGTTAAATGAATATTTGCTTCACTTGTAAATTGTTATCGCAGTGACGATAACGAATACGGTATATGGTAATATGTTCATTGGCGTTTTTCTTGAAAAGGATGCGCCAGTTAAGCTGCTTACATAGAACATAAGTTTACATGATAATGTGATAAGGAATTTATCTTGTAAATGAACGCCAGGTAGTTGAAAAACCGAGTTTTTCGAAGAGTCGGCACACAATTCAATCGAAATTCTTTTCTAGGTATTTCTTGCATCATTTTCCAGTAACATGTCCTAAAACGATTATTCCATATCTCTTAATTATTATTCATGAATTGATAAAAAGGACCGTGTCAGGCAATTGATTGACTCGAAGTATAACTGGAACGATGTGAATTGCAATTCGTTAGGTCAAAGGGTTTTTTATTGCATTGCAAATGCAAATCTTCGTATTTTTGTAAAACTGCGCCAGTCATCCGAGTTTTAATGCTCAAACATCGATTTTTAGTAGAAAATCCTAGCTGATAGCGTACCTTAAGAGCAAGACAATTATTCAATGCATTTGACATGCACGAGAGCTGCTCCAAAACAGCGGGGTTGAACTCATAGAACTTTGAAGAAATATAGCAGCTATACCTAGATAATGCAATTTGTAATAGTAATGTAGTAACCTGGTTACGATAAGTATTACATTGCTGTTACAATTCGCTAGTGATAAATTGCCGAAATATCGGCAGACGTACCCGCGGGTCGCGTCACTGTGTATTGCTGATTATTAGTGTTTATGCCAGCTGTAATTAGATTGGAGAAATTTCTCGGGAGATGACGGATGCGGTGTTTAGTTTCGAAATCTCCGTAGGGTGCTGCATTCGACCAATCATTGGGACCTAGAAGTCCTAAAGCCGAAAGGCATCTACGAAATCATGCAGTAGGTGGAAATGAAAGATTTTCTGGCTCGCATCCAAAATGGCGCACGGGAGGGATGAGTCGAGAGCTCGGGATTCAACGTGTACTTTCGAACCGTTGAAATGTATATATTTCATTGTATATTTTTTTTAAAACGTGGACTCGCTCGGTCCGAAGCTTTGACAAATAGATGTATTATTTTTCTTTACACGTGTATATAAATATATACACTCACGTAATACACGCGTATATCTAAACATATACCTACGCGTACTGTTCAGTCGTGTTGGCGTATTTTTGGGCACGTGGTGAGAGAAAAATCTGGTTAAGGGAGCTAAGCTTATCGATATTGCAGCCTTCGAACTCACAAAGTAGCACTAACAAAATTTCGCGTCAGGCGAACGATAAAATGTGTACAATTACAAATAATACATGCATTGTGCCGCAGTCACGATTTACTATATTTACAGAACGAGAGATCGCAGGAATCGCGATATTCACCTGTGGCAATCAACTTTTTCTATTTAAGGTCTAGTCGATATCATACGATACAAGGACAAGTCGAGTAGGGTAGATTAAGGAATAGGAAACGCAGATGCTCCTCCATGAATAGCCTATTCCTTCCTTACGAGTACATTTTTAATCGACAATACTTTTAGTCAGTATGTATGGATTTGGGGAAATGTGGAACAAAAATGTGTCTTTCAAGGATTCGTATCAGTTCTTCGAAGGAGTCGTGCTCGACGCTCCGCGGCTCTCTTGTCACCGCAGAGAAATTATTCTCCGTTATTTCAATATTCGTTATTCAAATATCTGCAATATCACGTCACATTTACAGCTACGGGTACCGTGAAAATAGTATTCCTAAAGAATTTTATAATAACGAGTAATTAAACGATACCTATTATCACGTAGGTCGAAGCTTTTTCTCTCACTGCGGCGGGCTCGGAATCCGTATTTTCATCGCACCTTTTTCGCTAAATGTGCGGTAAGAATGCGTCCTATTACTTAGCGGATATTCTAGACAATTTGTAGAGGGAAGGATTGTCGCTCGATCTTCGTCTTTGTATTCTACGAAAATAATGTCAACGTGTACCACTTGTATATCGCGGCATTTCTGCTCGGCGTTACTTCCGGGCCTCGTCGAAAAAAAAAAAGGAAACCGGAAACGCGTTTTTCCGCGACGTCGTCCTGTAGCGTATAGACGAGGGTTTTTGAAAACTCGTTGATTCCACACTTTCATTGCGACACAATAACGACAGCAAGAATGAACACTACACTATTGCAAATATTTATTACAAATGATATATTAAATATATAAATGATAAATATATTATATTGAATTAATGACGATTGAACAAGATGACATTTTTTGGTACAATAAAACGAGAAAGAATTCAGTCGGAGGCCTTTTTTCCAGTCCTCTCTGTTTGGGCGACTATTAAAAAAAAATAGGATTCCGCTAGATATTATCCATAATTAGTTACAATATAGTAAATATAATTTGTCCAGTAGGTCTGTTCCAGGTAAATGGGCGTCTTCAGCTTATCCATACGTAACTCGGAATTATTTTAAACCGATAAAACACAAAAGTCGCACTTCCAAAACCCATCATGACATATTGAAAGATTTAAACACAGATTGGAATACACTGTCGATCGATAAGCGCCATGTCACGTGTTATAAAGTGATAAAATCTAGTTCTCTGCTGCTACGGTTTTCATGGTTTCCCAAGTTAATCCATTACCGGTATTCGAAAAGGGTAATACAGGAACTGATAACGGCGAAGAAATGATAAAAATGTTATCGACCGTCTACATGACGTCCGGTAGTATGTAGTTTGCGAGGGCGCTCCGGTTAGGCCGATCTTTTTACCGACGGCACATATCTTGTATTTCGTATTCCATTCGGGTCGCGTCTCTCTCTCAGCTTAGCGTTATCGCTTATCTAGCTTTCTGTATTATCCACGGAACCAGCAGATGCGCGCGCAACTACTTAACTTTCCACGTTTCTCCAGTCGTTCGATCGCAGGTGGTGGAACGTATGTTCTATATATTCCTCGTGTGGAACTTCGAACCAGGGCATCGTATCTGTTTTGCATAATTTAACATAAAATTTGCCTCAAAAGGTGTTTTTTAGTTTCCCGTTAATCATTAATTATCGATAGACGTATTGTTATGCACATTAAACGTACACAAGTCGGCGTTACCATCGTTTGTCCATGTACATCGTTTTACCAGCAGGGAAGAAACAGGAAATCAAAACAAACCGCGTAATTCTTTAACCACTCGAGGGGAAATAATTTCGAGCCAAAGAAATGTAGAATGGCGGATTTTATTAAATGAAAAGAGCTATTGATACAATTCAAAGGCCGTTTTCTTTGGTACGTCTTGAGCCATGATTTGCATGCAGAAACAATACTAGAACGCTTCTCGAGGAATGGCTTTATCCTTTTATTTTCTTCTTTCAACTCGTAACCGCAACTCTCGGTTTCATTTCTTTAGCAAATTTACATGACTTTGGAGATTCTTCAAAATCAAAGGTGTTTACATTCTGTAGGTGGTTTGTACAATTTTTTTATGTATTTATATGTCGAAGCGAGGAGAGATTCGAATCCGACCGCCAACGTTAGTCTTATACGTTAAATAAACCGTGAAATTTTCAGCTGACTGAAACTTAGACGGAACACGATAATGAACACCTCACCTGGGAAATACGATAACGAGCAAACTGTTGACGGTTATGACGCGTAACCAGGAAAGCGGTGAACTAGAAAAAAAAGAAAAAAAATAGCTTGAAACAGTTATCCACGTTTTGTCACCCAAGGATTGTGAAACCTTGTATTTCCGATTGAAAGTACTCATTTATAGGGAACATGCAATGTATTCGTTTGCAACGTGAAAATGTAAAACGAGTCCTAATTACATTAATTTCTTAAATTCTCCGAGTGTACACGAAACGTTCTTTCCTCAAGTAATTCACGTTGAGGAATTCGAATTCGCGTCCGGAGTTAAAGGAAGTTTCTACTAAAAGCGGCCAAAGGTGGAAGGCAACATATTTCGCTTTCTTCATTCTGTTAATTTTATTGCTCCTTCGCATACACACCCACCCACCGTCATTACCCCACCATCCAACACAAATACATTACGAGGGAACGCTGACACACCGATCTCAAAAAGCGGCAAAGTTGAAAACGTAAACCTCTAAAATGAAATACAAACTCCAGTTTTACACGGTCGCGCGATTTCCAAAAGAGCTTCCCAAGGAACGGTAAGTAAGCCGGCAAAGAACTAGTGGCGAAAATAAAAGAAAAAGAAACGGGAATCATTAAAAAGTGAAAGAGGTCGGTCCGAAGCCAGGGTCGACAGCCAGGTGAGGACAGGCGGTCCCCAAACGCGCCTCCCGAGTCTAGGTTCCACTTTGTCCGTCCATAAGCAAAGCACGCGCCAGAAAGTGGAACCGCGACCGAGCGGCGGCGCTCCTTTGACCGGCGCGGGTCCATCTCGTTAGCTCTCCCGTTTTCTCTCCCTAAGGATGAAAGTCTCGGGATTCCTCGAATGCTTTACACAAAAGGCACGGGATTCCGACTGGAGGAGCCCGTCGGGGTCTCGGGGAGCGTATCCGTCTCGGATTCGTCGGCGGATCTCGGACTCGGTATCGGCGGCGCGTCGATTAGCCGCGGCGCTCCGACTCGCGCCGCCTGCGGCCCTGGCGCTCGGATCCCCGTATCCTCGAATCCAGCAGTCAGTCGTATCGGAGCCACCGTGCGGTAAGCTCGTGTCTCGCCGGCGTCGCTCGCTGCGTGGACGAATAGCGGCTCGCGGTGCGCGCACCCGACATCCGGGACTGGTCCGCGAGGTTGGCAGAGACTCCAGGAGGCCGCGGCCGCGCACTTCCGGGGCCCTCCGCACTTCCGGTGGGATCGATCGGCGAAAGGGCGGAGGCGCCGATCGCGATCGCGGTCGCGCCTCGACGGACCGCGCGCGCGCGCGCGCGTCGCCCGTGGCGGCTGACAGCGCCAATCGAGAGTATCGATCGATCGATCGGCGGGTCGATCGACCCGCCGTCGATCCCGCGAGGGCCAATCCGCCGAGGCTGCGAAGAGGGCGCGACTTCTCGGGGATTTGAAGGAGCTTCTCGAGGACCGGGAGGTGAGGCCAGCCGCTTCTTTTCTTTTTCTTCTTCTTCTTCTCGTTCCTCCGCCGGCTCCTTCTCTTCCGCTTATCGCCCGGTATAAAGTTCACCGCTTCTTCCTCGTTTCCGAGCTCGCCTCTCGTCCGGTCCGACGTGGAAAACGAACGGAGCCGCTTCTACGTGGGGATCGATCGAGCGGCCTCCCACCGGAAATGGCATTTTTAACGGCGGATGTGCCACGCGAATTTTCGGATAAGGCCTTAACTGCACCTATCTGGGGAACGGGGGAAGGGCTTTTTGCTCGCGACAGGGGGACGAAGGGTCGCTCGATCAGGGCATTATTACGTTGCTTCCCTAAGTAGGATGCCTGGAGAGATGACTCTACTCTCCGACTATCCGAGAGAAAATCAGGGTCGACTCGAGAAAATTAATAACGTTGACGCTGTGACTTTGGCTTATTTTATGTTTAACGAAAATTAACGATTAGTCGTAATACCTCGGTCGTAGCTTATTTATTTTATTAACTCTAACTTGCTCTCGAAAGGTGAAAACATGAAAACGTGTGACATACATCTTGTACATCTTCCACTCCGTTATCCACATTATGCTTCCATTCCATATATTGAATGCATGCCGAATGATATTTCTCGCTGACGAAGCAAAGTGCGTCTTTATTCCTCAGGAATTATACGGATGCATTCCTCGCTCTTGATTTTTGCATAAAGATTGACTTTTCTTGTCATTTAGCGAGTGAACTTATTTACGAAAAATTACTTATAAAAACGCTTACGGTTTTGTGTATTTATGTCATTTCTATGCCGGTACATCTTTTTATGGTAATATTTTTAATATTAATATTTGCGGGCAGGAAGGAATAGAAGGATCCTTCTTTTCTCTCGATGCTCGATCGATTTTATATTAGCTTGGGGATTCCGTTCCACTGGTTGTTTTTTATTTAGATTATTTCCTGGGATCCTCGACGGTAACATCGCCTGATGCATTGTGCTCGGTGAAAAAGCGTGCAAGTGGACGAATGTCCTACACTTTTTATCAGGATTGAGAATATCTGGCTTTATACTCGGTCCATCCGGTTGGCGGCCATTGCATGCTTTTCGCATTAATATTCGCACGCGAGAATGGAGTACAGGTCGCAGTTTTTTATTTCCACGTGTAAACTGTAAATTATCTCCGGCCTTGCTTAATCTGGTTTTGCTGTATGTTAGTACTCGAAAGGTATGTCGAGTATCTTCTTCTTTTATTTGGCTCACTTTGAGCTTGTCTGCGGTGCCACGAATTGTTTGATTAGATGTGAATATTTATGAGTGACAAGTTATTGTTGCTTCGATAATAGAACTTCTTGATTAGGCTAGCCATAGTTATTAGGAACATTTTGGACTGCATTTCAGTGTCTGGCATCGAAAGTACAATAGAATGAAACGTTTCTCACATTTAGCATTCAGTTATGAGGAATTATAATTCCAGATGATGATGTATTATTGTTAAGATGAGCGTGTCTAATTTTGCTCTCACTGGCACCGGTTGATGATGATTAATGGTTTCAACGTTGATCCTTGCATACAGGTGCGAAACGCTGGTTGCATTTCATTGTCTTCAGGTGTAATCTGTAAGTTAGTTTCGGCACGCTCGATCCTTTTAATCATTTGTAGTGTTGATTGTTTACGAAGCATTCTTAACGATAATGACTCATTTATTCGATGCGTAATTCCCGGCAATGCACGTAGTAAGAAATTTTTGAATTTGTCTTAAATCAAGGTCTCTTAACTAAGAGCAAGAATTCTTGTGTTTTACTAATTGGAATCTTCTGATACGACGATTTTGTGAATAGGATTTTTGCAAATAGAGTTATCGAAGTTCACGTCACCTTTAAATTTGCTGAAACCGAAATATTTGTTATTGACTTTTTGTAAATTAATAGCATGTTATATTCGATCGTGCTCTGTCAGGTTTGAAAGTAATGTAAATATTTGGAGAAATTCAGGGAAATGTTTGTCAATTTTGAGGGAAAATCGTGACATGGGAACCGTGTGATTTTTGTTGGTTAAACTCCGTTGGTAGAGGTTGTCATGTAGTTTTGTAGGTACTTCATTATTCCTATAGCTCTTATCATTTTAGTGAACCCTCTAGGCAAATATGCGTTGATGGATTCCGAGATTAAATTGGAAAGTTTTTAAAGTGAATTCCATAGACTGAAATATGTCTACCTAAGATCTAAATATTATTCTTCATTTCGTTTCCGTACATATTTGTCACATTCCCACGCTGAAAATTCGAGTCGCCGTGTATTATTTGATTTGCTAGTTTCTATTAAGTGAATTATACATATCTCGTGCCGGAGATATGAAATCAAGTAAATTGTATCTAAATTTTTATTTACTTAACTTTACGTACAGTAGTCGGATTAACTACTTAATCTTTTATTTTAATTTATATTCGTCCATTTCTTTCAATTTAATTCGCTCAATGGAGACTCGGTTAAGGAAATGAAAGGCTAATTATTTGTGTCCAATGAACATTAACGAAAAATGTCTAACCCTTATTCAGGAAATTCTTCAACGGGTATATATTAAATTATTATTAGAAATTCAGCGTTTCGATTTGCCCAGATATTTCCTGTAACAGTTTCCATTGATAACGCGAGATCATCGGATGCACTAGGTGCAATATATTGCACGGGTAATGTGGCAGTATTTCACACTTAAAACGGAGCATACCCATCAGCTCGTATTGGCAGGCAATTGGTGATCATTGCTCGTTGCGATGAGCTTATTGAAAAACAAGTACCACATGTGCTCTGACGATTGTCGTCACACCGGACAAGTTACAATGAAAATTGCTTTGAACGCACTCAATTTCCGAAGGCGGCAACCGTATTCAATTCTTGAAGAGGTCTCCAGCAATTTCTTTCCAAGCGCGGTGTCGTTATTTCGAATAAATAAAAAAAACCAATTAGTTCGATGCATTTTCAGAAAAAAATTATAGTCAATAATAAGAACAAGCGTTTGCAAACGCTTCTTCGCGAAAATTGTTTTATTTTTTTTTTCTACTGTTCTAATCTTGCATAATGTGTACAAGCAGGGTCAATTAGATTGGCGGGTCTTTCATAGGCGTTAACTTCTCGGGAATGGTCCTTTTTGACACCAGGAAATGCTCGCCTTGATGGAAAGCTCGTGTACATTTACTTCTATTTTCTACTAGGCGGCTTTGGTGTAGATCTCTTTTCAAAGCCCGTAATCCTTGGCGAAGCCCAGGACTACACAGCGGAACGGGCCGATAAAAAATTCACTCCGAATACACGTTTCGCGAGAACCGAGTTTCAAGAAAATGGGACAAACGATGGATTAATTTTTTCGAAGCCCCGGAACGGCGCGGTTGGAAAAGCGAATTAAAAAAGGAAAAAAAAAAGAACGGGAAAGGATTCCCCGCAAAGCTTCCGCTGTGAAACCAATTAGATTGTTTTTTTTTTTACATGAATTCGCAATTTTCAATTTGCCTTTCGCCGCCTCGTTTCGCGTTTCATTCTCCTGTATAATGAAAATGTCTATATTAAAACAAGACAAAAAGAAATGGAGATATCAAGCCTTTATCCAGTTCCGTGGATTGCAGGTTCAAAGAATCATCAGCCAATCATAAGAGCTTTTCTGGGTATTATCTGAACACGTATGCACGTTACAAGTTAACTCAGTAAATGAAGAATTCTGAAAAATGCAGTTATCAGTGGTAGGAATTATCGCATCGGTTTCATGATCGGTAATTAGAATTTTATACCCCGTGGACATAATTAGACTTTATTTCTCTCCGTCATCGCGGTGGTCCTGATTTTTCTTTCAAACGTACGTCTTCTAGTTAAGGTACTCGAGGATTCTAGAAAAGTAACTTTGCCGGTTCGAAGCCAAGAAATGATAACCAGCAAGTGTCGAGCTTGGCCTTGTCACTTGCGAGTGTTTCGCCGCGTTTTTCCGACCGGGGGGAGATTTATCGCTCCTTTAATTGGCGCGTGCAATGCCGGAATATTAGACAGGTTTTCATGGTTCGCGGTATCAACGGATTTTCCGCCGATTTGCGGTATTCGTATTCCGCGTGGGCCGACAAAGAGAGACGCGCAGAACGGAAGTCCTCGATTCGATCTCCCCGTCACCGACACGTCGCACTGATACCATTCAGAGGCATCGTTATCGGTCCGTTGGTAATTAATTTGCCTTTAGAGGGAAACTAGTCCCACCGCGTATTCAGATTGTGCTATTGGAGATCAGTAATCGAGACGTACGGGATGTAACAAGGCCATGTGACGTTAATTATTTAGCGCGATATCTCGACATACTCTAGATGGCGTAAATATAAATTGGGGGAAAAAAAAAAAATAATGTCAAATGTCGCAGGTAATGCGTCAGGGGAATAGTTCCTGAGTTGTCTGAATTTCCGATGACGCGTATCGGAAAAATCAAGAGTGACATACCTATCGGGGAAAGAATTATGCGACTCGAGATGGAATTTTCGAACGAGTTTCATCGGAGGACTCTTACGATCCAGATGCGATAATGCAACGAGATCTGCTGATAGCGGATCTCATTGCATAATCTTCTTCTCTTCGACAGACGAGTGTATAATCATCTCGATGTTTCTTAATGGTTGCATTCATTTTCGCCTCTGTTAAATTACTCCGTGGTTATTAACGCGTTATTTGGTTTAGTATCTGTTTTAGGTGTTAAATGTACGCCGCGTGCATTGCGATTTACGGGGAGATCATTTCGAATGCTTTTGTTTACGATATTCGGGATTTGTAATTTAATTAAAGGAGCGCTCCGGTCTCATGTTTAATTAAAGCCACATGTTTATGGAATATTCGGCTGGCATTTCTCGTGGCAGGGGGAAATTGTTACCCTGGAATTAATTCACGAGGAAACGGGAGTAATCCGGTTTATGGAAATTTAGGTTTTAACGGGAAACAGGGAAATGCATTTTTTTTTGTACGTTATCATAGTGAAAAGGTACCGCGAAGTTATCATCGCTTCGACCGAGCTTCCTTGGGTGGTTTTCTTTTCTAATTTCAGTTAAATGTAGCAACACTACATGCTTTACTCTTTAACTACTTACCGTGGAGTGTCGGAAGTGGCTTAATTAATATAATACACTTACGTAATCCGCGGGTACTTAAAGTTACGTGTTTCCAAAGTTGACCCCGACCATTTACCGAGAAGTCCGCTAAGTTCCTTAATGATGAGAAGTTGCGAGGGAATTTTCAGAGGTTCCTCTTCCCGATTAAAATTCCATTGTTGGTTAATGAAAAATGGCGTCAGAGATGGGAAAATATGACCCAATAAGTGTTGCGTGAAGCCAAGCCTTTGTCGCACTTTTATGAATTATTAGACAGTTTCAAGCGGGGGGTTTAGGGTGGTAATATAAAAGTTAAGTTTAAATTCAGCATCCACGAAAGTTACTTGTTTTTCGTAAAGGCCAAAGTCCGTACAAACTTGAATAAAAAGTAAAGGTTTTTATTTCTATCGCGTAAACAAGCAGGTTGAAGGACCGTGCAAGTTATTAGCGGTCGAAATATGTTTATTATGCTAAATGACAATATATTTGTATACATTTTTGGACGTTCTGAAGATATTTTTAGGTGAAGTGAATTTCGAGACCTGCTGGAGTTTATTATAAATATTATAACTAAATATTGTGGCATGTAGTATTATGCGATGCAATCAACATTTCAAGTGTCCCTTATACTCATTCGATTCAATTCTACGTGATTACGCCAAAGTCCGTACAAATTTTAATAAAAAATAAAGGTTTTTATTTCTATCGCGTAAACAAGCAGGTTGAAGGATCGTGCAAGTTATTAGCGGTCGAAATATGTTTATTATGCTAAATGACAATATATTTGTATACATTTTTGGACGTTCAGCGGATATTTTTAGGTGAAGTGAATTTCGAGACCTGCTGGAGTTTATTATAAATATTATAACTAAATATTGTGGCATGTAGGATTATGCGATGCAATCAACATTTCAAGTGTCCCTTATACTCATTCGATCCAATTCTACGTGATTAACCCGAGTCATGAGTTCTCGTTGACTCTTCGCCGAGACCTCTCAATATTTTCCCAGGAGATGATTAAGAACCTTCATATCTGCGATACGAACCGGTCTACGGAAGTTTATCGATCTCCTGTCGAACCTGAAAATTCTAATAATATATCGCCGAGATTTACCTCCGTGTGTGTGAGTACCTATGCAGACGTATTATCGGGGGAAGTTTAAGGGTCGATTCACATCGAAAGGCGGCCTCGACATTATCCCCTTCGTTTCAGGATTTAATGAAGTGTACTCTTGTCCTTTGCATAGGTTTAACGGTATCGAGCAATTTCTATGTAATACACTTTACTATTAGCGATATTACTAACACATGGGTCCACGCTTCTGCCGTTTACAAACGGAAATTGTAATTTCCACAACAACCGTGTACGCATACAGAAATTGCTTTCTCTCGTTTTCCCTACGGTGTTATTTTCGGCGAAGCATGGCATTGGCATGGTCTATTTTTAAACAATTTTTATATTACCTTGTGCTTCGAACTAAAGCTCGGCACAGCCTTTCGGAGCGCGCAGAAAAATAATATTGTAATCATTGCATATGCTCGCGGGTTAAAGTATTGGTGTAACCTTAACAACAATTATTGTAGATGTAATTACAATTTTCTGTCCTTTTAACCATTGCGGCTGTAGCACCAACTGCAGAATTCTTGTAAATAAATTGTAGGTATATTTGCATCCGACAGTGTTACATATATAACATTGGAAAGTAAAAATTACACGTGTAAAGGCACGGGTAAAAATGACCATCACAGTTGTTAAAATTAAAAGCAAGAACTCTATTAAAAATCGTATTATATACCGTAGCACAGGTAATGTTTAAAAGCATGAACTGTTATTGTTCCTTTTGTGCGTTTAAGACACAGCGCGAGAAGTATTCGGGTCGTGACTGCAGAATTCTTGTAAATAAATTGTAGGTATATTTGCATCCGACAGTGTTACATATATAACATTGGAAAGTAAAAATTACACGTATAAAGGCACGGGTAAAAATGACCATCACAGTTGTTAAAGTTAAAAGCAAGAACTCTATTAAAAATCGTATTATATACCGTAGCACAGGTAATGTTTAAAAGCATGAATTGTTATTGTTCCTTTTGTGCGTTTAAGACACAGCGCGAGAAGCATTCAGGTCGTGACTGCAGAATTCTTGTAAATAAATTGTAGGTATATGTGCATCCGATAGTGTTACATATATAACATTGGAAAGTAAAAATTACACGTATTAAGGCACGGGTAAAAATGACCATCACAGTTGTTAAAATTAAAAGCAAGAACTCTATTAAAAATCGTATTATATACCGTAGCACAGGTAATGTTTAAAAGCATGAACTGTTATTGTTCCTATTGTGCGTTTAAGACACAGCGCGAGAAGCATTCGGGTCGTGACATGCGCAGTCCTGCGAACTGTTAGATTCATTGTGACTTCCGTAGCCGCATCATTCGGTCCTCTCCGAAATTCGGTTTTCGATCTAATTTAAGATCGAGTTTTACTTTTTCAATTCATTGTAATAGTTTGATTAAGTGACTACATGGATGATTTTATAAAAAATGAACTTTAGGAGTAGAGGTTAGGGAACCTACAACAATCGTTCCAAGGTAAGCTTTACGTAAAACAAATATTTATCGTTTTCAATGTATTATATCTGTAGTGATTTCCCGAGTTCCCGACGGGAAAGGATACCGTTTACAATGATACTTTTTACGTGAGCTGACTGTAATATACACATGTCGCTATTCTATTTTCTAGCTACCCCAACGGTAATAAATGCGTTGCTGCATGTTACTTTCTACATGTATCAACAGTAAAGGGTACACTAGCAAACGTTATATACACATGTTATGTGGTAACTATTGCTTCAGTTGACGACTTTATGCTGGCGCGATTGTAAATATAACTGTCGTATCGTTGTAACTGTAATCATTCTTTGTAATAATATGTACTACAAAGAAATTGTACATTTGACATTTTTAGCAGAGTTATCATTATTTTGTAGAACTGCTGTCCTTATATTTCCCTGCGATTGCTGTTATATCTATCCCAATTGTAGTAATTGTAACAACTTTTTCCCTCCGTGAGGGGAGAAGATGTGGAATATTGCATAAAATCATTTTCATTCAGTCGTAACGATGTGTATTTTGACGAGTTCCTCTTTGCTTTTCATTGTCGCTTTATTTCTATTCGTTTAAATATTGAACAATACCTTCCCGTCGTTGCTTTGTCGGACGTCTTGTCGACAGAGGAGCCATAAGGAATTTTGCACATTGGATTTCAGGAGACACTATGGAAGTTTCATTCGATTAAAGGGCCAATCAGCGGTCCTTCGGTTCCCGACCCAGGAAGTTGAAGATCGACTTCAGGATGGGAGAAATTCTGGGATCGGCGAGTTTCCTTCACCTCGGCGACATCGTCAGTTTGTACGCCGAGGGAAGTGTCTCGGGATTCCTGTCGACCTTGGGGTAAGTCCACAATTTACGGAATCACTTTCGACTTGTTTCGGTCGAGGTAAGATAGCCTTATATGAACGAACGGACTAATTTTTGCCGGACCTTCGTTTTCGCCGATTTTCGCAAGGGCGCGAGAGCTCATTACCATATCTGTGCTACATTTTCGAGCTGAAATGAATTCCCCGGAATTTGCAAGCCTGCAGGAATTTTCTCGATTTTTATACCCCTGCCCTATGTGTACTTCTAAATTTGACAAAAGTGGCGAAAAACTTAATTCAAGGAAGGTTTAATATTTTAGCCATCTTCTGACATTTGCGAAGGGGAGGACGATTAGTACCTTGTTTACGGTTGAAGAAAAGCAAGATTGCTTTTTTTTTTAAACAAACTGGAATCACCTGATATTATTCTAGGGTCGTCACGAAGCATTCAGACTTGGTTATCAAGATTTTGATTTTTCAGAATTATCATCCAATGATCTTATGATTTGGAGAAACGTTAAAGTTCGATAGCTATGGCCAGATGCGGCGAGCGCTGTGCACTTGTTTAAATGTGAAATAAATTTCCACGGATGTTATGGGAAGAAGGAATTGGAGCATTGCGGCTGATCCGGGGGGTAAATGGAAGGGGTAAATAAATGCAGAAGCAACGGAGAGCAATACGGGCAGCGGCAAAGTTTATGGGTGCAATAATTTTCTTAGGATTTCGAGAAATAGGACAGTCCAGCACTTTATCAGCTTTCTATTAACAAAACCGTATATAAACTGTAACACCCCGGTTAAGCATGAACCGTGCATTTGGTACGGTTTAAAATACATCCCGACATTCAATAGAACCCTAAATTTTACGATTTCAACATCTAATCGTATGTTTCAAATATGTACCTGTAAATGGAACATCTTAAATCGTGAATCACCGAATTGTGTGACTAAAAAACGATTATTTTAGATTAATTCCATTATTCATTTACGATTTTAGCTCGTTTTGGGAGATTAATATATATGAACTGCTGCGTTCTTGAGCAAATAGCAACAAGTGTAGGGTCAACATCTTGCCAGGGTTTATTTTAATTAATTGAATTATTCACTTATGTTTTTGACGTATTCTTTGGAAATCAAGGGTAAACTGCAAGACTGTTGCGCAAATATCAGCAACAAGTACAGTATCAGCATCTTGACGGTGTTTTCGAGTGTCCGATGTTCAAAGTCAAGCGTTTAGGAGATGACGAGCCTACCTCAACACTATGGCTCGTCCTTAAGCATTCTATGGATCGGTCCATTCATGCTTGAACTCTACCTACTTCAAGCAAAGAGTCTTATCCACCGGGGATCTTTGTGCCAGCATTATAAATGCTCGACCGGTGATGTACGGAGATCGTAGATCTTCCAATTATGCAACCTCTTTTAGCGCGACTCATCGGCTGCTCGATTGTTTTCCACCCCCATATGCGATATTCTCCTTTTCACTTTTTTCGAAATCCAGTAGTCCGTAGTATTACCGCGGACATTGTGAAAAAGTATACCTAAAAACGTACGATAAGAATTCAAGAGACGAAAGCAAAGCGTCGGTAAGGAAGTGGCTTCAACCAACATGGACAAAACGTCTTGCATGGAGTCCAAGAAAATGATCAATGGCGCGTTGTGCAATCTTACAAAAATGGCAATTACACCAGAAGTATGTAACTCGATATCAACACCCTGCAAATTATATAAAAATTTCGCGCAAGGAGCGTACCCCGAAAGCGGCGACGACACGGTGGCATTTCATTCTAATTACGTAACGTAAACGTAACTTTACGTAACTCACGAAATTATACATAATGAAATAAATCATCGGTGATATTCCGGTGCTTAAGAAGAACCTTAGAGTGCGGATATGCAGACGTACGTAAATACGAGTGTTCGTACCGCTTCTACGTACAAATACATCCTTCCGTTCCTCACGCGGAGTCATTTCCATTTTCGGAGGAAAAGGCTGGAACAAAAAGTCGGGTCGGGCGCGTAACATCGATAACTCACGAAATTGTACACAATGAAATAACATCATTGATATCTCGGTGCCCAAGAAGCACCTTGGACGGCATATATTCAAGTGTACATGAATACGAGGGTACGCATCACTCTTGTGGTCCAATCGGTCGTTTCGTTTCCTCGCGCGGAGTCATTTCCATTTTCGGAGGAAAAATACCGAGCAAAAAGTCGGGTCGGCCGCGTTTACATCGGTACAACGCTAAATGCTCCGCAATAATTTCTGTCACGTAGCTTTTGTGTCGCCTCGACGCTTCCGTTGAGCAGCATTTTTCCGAGCACCCTTCCGGCGTGAAAAGACGCGGGAACGTGATCGCTTCGGTTTACCTGGAGCTTCTTCTTCCCGGTTCTCTCGCGCGCAAACCAGTCTCGTCAATGTCTCTTATAGTGTGCTCATCGCCGCCCGGTGTGACTTACATTTACGAGCCTCTACTTACAATGGACACCTCGAGGCGTGACAAAAGTGCCGCCTGACGAAAGCCTCGCGAGGTGTATTCCGGCATTGTCGCCCGTCGTGCATGGACGCACTACTTGCCCGCGTTACGTACGCACCGGTGACGTTTACCAGCGCGTACGTGTGCGTGTACGAGTCGGTGGACGTGCCCGTGTTAATTTTATAATCGGCCCCGTTGATAACTGGAGGTTACGCCGGCCAATATAAAGGGTTAGCAGGAACGGTCGCCAGGATTGGCGAGCGGATAGCGAAATCGATATCGGGTCGATCGTACCGATCGCTCTTGTCCCAAGGATCGTCCTCGGTGATATATTATTAGACCCGACGACGACCATGCCGTCGATGCGCGACTTTGGGAAATACTTAATATGAAATTCCGAACGCCTTGCCGAGATAAAAATAGCTTTCGAGGGGCTTAGATCGGCACGATTTGCGTTTAATTTTGCCGACACTTGCGATTTAGATTTTCGAGCAGAGCCTGATCGATTTATAGGCACTACGTGGACGATAATCGACGAAATTGCGAATCTTTTATCGACCGCGGTCATTTTTTGATTCGAAGGTGGCATCGATATCGATCCCCGATCTTGATTTTGCTTCGTTTAGTAAAAATCGATGCTTGGTTGTTGGAGCGTTTGAAATTCAATTTTTAACTTAAGGAGAATTAATAGATATTGCCGAATATTTTTGGCCGTTAGACTTGGCTATTTTGGGCGTTGTTATTGCCATTTTTTGTCCGTATTATCTTTCATTCCATTTTAAATGTCGAAAGTTATGTTAAGTTAAGTGATACTGACGGAAAAGTTTACGTCCTATCGTGTTTTAAGAAATTTTACTTAAAAAATCGGATAAATCGAGTTTTGTCATTGAAGTTCGTTTCGTCTCTCTTTTCTTACAAACGGCTCCTTAATTCTGGATAAATGTCTGGATTGATATTTCTGACGAATTCCATCACCAACCTCGAAAGATAGAGGCAAAATGATGGGAAAGTGCTTATAGTGCAAATTCGGGATCCCTTCAATTTACGTTTTATCTACCTAATAATTATGTAAATTAAGGTAAAAGCAATCGCAGCGCTTCATTTAACGAGGTGAGCTCGACGTGGAATACGTGAATTTCGCCGGAGCGATGGAACCGACATCGGTGTTTCTCTTAGAGCTTGACGAACAATTAAATTAGAGTTCTTCCTAGACAATAACAAACGCGTCGTGCTTTCCGGGTTCGCGTTTCTTTTTCGTCGTATTCTTGAATAGCGGAAACACGTCGGCGGATTCTCTTGCTTAGTAGTTCCAGCAGAAATAGGTCAGGCATGCTTTGCCTACTTAGGCTGCATTGAAAACCGCGAATGAGGTCTTAGATAAAGTCCGTTTCCTTCCCGATTTGCATATAGTTTCTTTCAATTGGCATTGAACCGTACTAGGTATTTCGCGGCTGTCTAAGATTTGACAAAAACCGCAGTTTGTTTTGTTTTGAATAAGGCTCCTCGGCGAGTCGGAAGTTTCTCGTTGATTAGTCCAGTCATGGAAGTGAAGACAAAATTCGAAAATTTCGGACGTCTCAATTAGCCGCCTAATGAACCCCATTGTCGAATCGGGTTTAATAAGAAGTTTCATTTCTCGCCACTCGCCGGTCTTCGCATTTAGTTCCATCTCTACGACAAAAGACCTTAAGAATTCCTCGTTGATGGTACCTTCGGAGAGCCGAGGGCCCTTACGACTGTTTGAGAATCTTTTTTTAGAAATAGCCCAGACACCTTTATGTTCTCTAAGCTATATTTCCAGCTCCTCTCGACTCGTCCAGAAACCCGCGTTAGATAATTAAAAGTCACTCTCGCAGGTGCAGATGCGTTAATTGGGCCGTTTACATGCGGCTTAATGCCCGCGCCAGTTTGGATGCTTCTGACAATGGAAACCAGCGACTCGCGTTGATTCCAAACAGCCTAATATTATCACTTCAATGTTATCGAAATTCTATATCTTTGGCATGGGCGCACCTACTTACGCGCAAATAAATATTTACTTCAATCGATACAATTTTCAATGGATCGAACATATTCCACGATTATTGCATGCACAACCAAATATCTGGTTGACGTGACAAAATTCCATGGTCAATATCGTTTGTTTGATCGAACCAAATATTAATATGATTCGGTAGACTTCATCGAGCCTTCCTTGTTCGTTCACCTAAATATCTTCTAAAATTAATAAAACGACTTAACCAAACACTTCGGTCGATTAAAGCGGACGAGTTTCAGGTGAAGTGAAATTCGGTTCGTTTGATCAAACCGGGAAGAACCAGATACAGGCAAACGAACGATTTTGTCGAATGAACCTGAAGTTTTATTTCCGTGAGCAGAACTGCTCAAGGGAGGGAAGTAAAGTTCTTCCTCTATCCATCCAAGTGTTCGAAGAAGAAGGACGGCGCCTTGTCACCGATTGAAAGAGGGTCCTTATCCGCTAATGAAAATCCACGAGCTTGACCCGCGAGGATTCGAGGAGTCGATCCTTTGGCACGGCAATATGGCCGCACGCTTAAATCGTTTACTTCCGCTCCATTTCCGGTGCCTTACGAGTGTGACGCGATGCTCCGGGAGGCTGTTCACTGCAGTCCCTTATTGCCTCAGTGGGACGCACGGACCAGAAATAACGAGTATCGGTTTTTCCTTGCTCGATCGCGCGTCACGCTTTAGTTTTTTTTTCTCCCCGGTTTGCCATTATCGCGGCGGAGATTAGCATACGCGTCGGCCATCCGTCTCCTCGACGATTCCCTTTGAATTTCGCGTAGTCCTTCCCCCTTTACAAGACGATCGGCGGATTTCGTCTCCGATCGTGGTAAAACAATTTGCCCAAGAGCGAATGATTGGTTCTAGATATTAGGTTACAAGGACACGCCCTTGACTCCTCTAAGGAGCTTAGAAGGGGAAAGAAGCCGCAATCTGGTTAGGAAATGAGGTGAAGCTCTTCATTTTTCCGACGTTCGCCCGCAAACGGTACACTTTGACTTGCCTTATCGCGCGTCATCTATCTTATTCTTATCGAAAATCTGGACTGCCTCCCTGAGCGATTTGGCTCCTCTCCACGAACCATTGATTAACTATCTCATCAGCGGGGATTTAGCTCGGAATTAAATTGATGATCAATTAGATTGATTATAATTAATTGGATTTTAATTGGATCCCTGGAGATGCTCTCTTAGACGTTCAGGCGTCCCCTCGGCAAGGCTTCTTCGACCTCGAGGAAAGATTGTCTGAAGGCCTGAATATTTTTTATGGAAACTTAATTTTCTCTTTTATGGCTGGAACAGTGGGGTCCGTCCGTGCTCCGGCATCCCGAAGTCTCGAATTTACTTGACGGACCTTTTTGAAGTATACTATTGCTCGAACGGGGAGGGTTCTCGTCTCTTGCGTACTTGACGCACTGAAAAGCTCAGGACTCGGCGAGTTCAAAGTCGCGGATTCTATGACGAGGACTTTTTATTCCGCGGCCGAGGTTTTCCGCTCATCTTACTTTGATCCGGAGGGGAGCTGATATAACGACGATGTACATTTCCTCTTTGCTCGGATACATACTTAGGTGACTCTACATATGTGCGCCGGCAACGGAACGAAGCGCTTTTCGGTCCCGCGCGGACTTAAAGCCCTGGGCAAGGCATGACCTGCCCCAATATCGATCCACCCCCGAGTCCTGGCTGGCTGCACGTATCATATTTAGAGGGAGTATCCTAAAAAGGTCATTGCACGGTACCTTCCTACCCTGTGTCGCTACAGGCTCGACTTTGCGCTTTCCAATGGTCTCCTGTTTGCGCCACTTTGAGGCGCAATTACGGTAAGACCGAGACGTGCTCCAAGCCGAACTTACTTCGAGTAACGAGTTTACGCTTCGTAGTACGTAATTGTCGCGGAAATAGGGAATAGGAATAATTGTGCACGCAGGGGGGACTTGTCTATACTTTTGCACGTCCGAGCTTTCGAGAGAAATTGCTCCGAGGACGTGGTCGATGTGAAGAGAGGGCGCAATTCAGGAATAAAGGAAGGACCTCGTCCTCGGACTAAAATAATTACGGGCGCAGTCCTCCGGAATAATTGTCTTCTTAGGTCTTTCCCCGTTCTTGAGCTTGTAGGTAGATTATGTGAAATGAAAGGAAAGAGGTATATCAAAGGTAGATTGTGATGAAAATATTCCCTCTTTTAAGACTGGGAATATTCATTATCGTGATGTGGTTTTCTTTCCGGGGTCGTTGCAGGATTTTAAGTATCTGGGGTAAGGTAAGAGGTTATTACTTTTAAGAGAGGGTAATGATTATACTTTTTTGAGCTGGAGGGATCAAATAATTTAAGTCATTTATGCTTCGTTATTATTCATTACTCATTACTGGCGACAGCCGTGGCAGTGGAATATTCGGTAGGAGAACAGCTGCAGGGTAATAAGGGCACAGATTGCACAAATTACCCCGGAATGGAGTAACAGTGGTCGTTTTGTGACTTCCGGGGGTTGGGGCCATCCTCTATATTTCACCCTTGATATATCTCCCGTGTATATAAATTTATACCGTTTGCGGAAGTAGACCATTGGTTTCCCTCCTTTCCGGAAAAGGGCGTTCGTAAGACACTTGATATCGGAATAATTTATGGCTTTTGCCATTAGAGTGGGGTAAAAGAGGGGTAACGTATGGCAGGATCTCAGTTTCGACGTGACCCTGTGATAGTGCTATTTTTAAATCTCATTCCCTCCCACTGTGGCGACTGACGAAGGACGGAATAAATAAAATTAAGGCCCAGCTTCTTCTTCGATAATATTTATTTATCGTCTTTGATCTTTAAATATTGAACATTTATACCTTTAAATATCGAAGACACGCAGAGCGTGAAAAATGTTCAAGTTTCATCAGGTAATTTAGTAAAAATGTTTAGATTTTCATCACAAATTTTATCTGCATAGATCGTGTTACAATACGCGATGAAAATATGTAATTTCGTAATAGAATGAACGTAAGTGTAATATCACACGGGGAAAACGGAAACGAATAGGAGGAAGAAGATTAACCAGCTGTGATTACGTTCAGTTATAATTAAACGTGCAATTAGTGGTGTCCATTGTTAACAGAAGACATGTCAAAGCGACATATGGGAGGTCTTCTCATTCAAAGACGAACTCGGACCGTCATATTTTCTCTTCGTTTTTTCTCCTTCCTGTCTTTTTCATCCTTGCGAGAAATAAAAGAGTAGGTGCCGTCTGGTTCCGGACATGTTTACTATTTCCTTTATGCCGCGTTTCGTGGAAAGACATCGCCGTTTTGCATAACTTCTTCGCGTGCAAACGGGGGGATATTTGAGTGCCTTTGAGGGCACGAAGAGACACAAATACTTCCGCTTTGTAGAGCCGTCATCATTTTTGCACATGAGGTGCTGAAGGAATGGGACAATTTTATGACTATTAAAGTCAATCAGCGTGACTTTCTTTCTGAACATTAATTTCTATTTTCGAGGTCCTACGATATCAGAAGACGATGTATTCAAGGTGAAAATAATTTTAGACGAAATTGAAACGAAGCTTATGAAAAAGTATGTAGAATATAAAAAATATATATCTTCGATTAGGCGACCGTTCTTCTTTGAAGAATTCGCAAAAAGAGTAACGTTTACCCGGATATCCGCACACGTGGAAAAAGGGGTTTTGAACGACACACCGCCAAATTCGAGAGTTTCGATCGCTTCAAACTTGGCGAGTATCTCGACCTATTATTGGCCTATCGTCAATGTTCGGCCCATAGAGGCGGATTAAATAAATAAATAAATCGCTGACCGAGTGTAGCTCGCCGCACGATAAATCGGGAGGTAGTTCGCGTGGCCGCGATTTATGAGGAAATGAGCATCAGAGTTTTCTTCAACATCTTCCTTTCACTTGAATGACGTATTTCATCAGGAAATTGCGATACCTTTCCTTATACCCTGCACCTAAGTAAGATGAAAACATTTATAACGAATAATTTCTTGATACGAGAATCATTATTTTTCACTAAATGTTATATGAAAATGGAGCACAGAAATTGGTGAATAAATAAAATGCGACATCACGTGCAATGATGGATACTACGTGGGATTATTGAAGAGAAGTAGCGTGGATTTTTTTGTCTAATCATCACATTGTCGTTTCAGATTGGTGGATGATAGATGCGTCGTGTGTCCCGAGGCAGGGGACTTGACAAATCCACCAAAGAAATTCAGAGGTTTGTCCAAAAAAGCACCGTAATTAGTGTCCGTTGCCGGAGGACCTGTAAAGATAGGGTCGTTATCTAATTTTATACTTTATTTTCAGACTGTCTCTTCAAGATATGTCCCATGAACCGTTATTCCGCCCAAAAGCAATTCTGGAAAGCAGCCAAACAAAGTGGCAGCTCTAGTACCGACGCATCATTGTTGAAAAGACTCCACGTGAGTGAACAAAAAAAAAAGGATTTTTCCAACTGACACCTCGGGATGATTTGCGATCCGAATCTATTTCCTGCTTTTCTACAATTTTAACGAATCGGTATTTTAAGAACGTATCTATTTTTGAGCTTAAAGAGAACAGATTAAATGATACGGTTACGGGAATGTGACCGGTAAATGAACAATGTTATTAGTGTAAAGACGTGCACGTAAGACAGAAGACGCTCGAGAGGAGAAATTTATTTTCTAGCACCGGCACTTGGAAAATTCCCTGAAAGCTTCGTAGTCTTTCGGTCATTAAATCCGAAAGGGATTTACGTTTTGAAGTATCGGTACGCTCTGTTCGCGCTTAATTGTTTGTTCTGTCGGGGCGGGAGAAAGCCGTGAAGCTCTTGGTGATTTACAGAGAATAATATACAAGGTTTGCCCTCTGTTTCCAGCATGCCGCCGAGATTGAGAAGAAGCAAAATGAAACCGAGAATAAAAAGCTACTGGGCTCCGTTGTCTCTTACGGGAATGTTATCCAGGTAAAAGGTCGTAGTTATTTTTACCCACGGTTTATTGATGTTACGAGTTGCAAGTACTCCGTCACGTGGTGTTCACATTTTATCGAAAATTGCTATAAAACGTTCCACTTACGAGGTTCGCTTCGTATCTTACATTTCTCAAGTCTTATTTATCCGAGATGCTTGACAATTTGAAGTTTTTCCTGCAGCTTCTTCATCTCAAGTCCAACAAGTTCCTGACGGTGAACAAAAGGTTGCCAGCCCTGTTGGAGAAGAACGCGATGAGGGTGTACCTTGACGCGAATGGGAACGAGGGCTCGTGGCTTTACATAATGCCGTTTTACAAACTGAGGAGCGACGGTGACAGCGTCGTCGTCGGGGACAAAGTTATCCTGGAGCCAGTTAATGCCGGTCGGCAAGGACTACACGCGGCCGCAAATTACGAGCTCAGCGATAACCCTGGCTGCAAGGAAGTCAACGTCGTCAACGCCTCGACATCCTGGAAGGTTACTCTCTTCATGGAACACAAAGAAAATCAGGAGGAGATTCTGAAAGGGGGCGACGTCGTCAGATTGTTTCACGCCGAGCAGGAAAAGTTCCTGACGATGGACGAGTATAAGAAAAAACAACACGTATTCCTGAGGACCACGGGCAGGACGAGCGCAACGGCGGCCACCAGCAGCAAGGCTCTCTGGGAAGTCGAGGTTGGGAAATGATATTAAATAAAAATCGATTATATAACAGCGGGTTATATACATATATAGGTACCGCCAGGTCTTGCGATCTCGAAGGAGTACGTTATATATTCCACGTCTTCTGAAATATTTAACGTCAATCATACCTGAAAAATGTATTACGGTTCATCGCAATGTCGTTGGATTATACTTTGCTTTGCTGTATATATTAGTTTTATATATCTATGGGAAAATCGACGATCAATTGTATTTACCATTATTCCGTTAATTATCGATTACTTTCAGGTTGTGCAACATGATCCTTGCAGAGGGGGCGCCGGTCACTGGAATTCCTTGTTCAGGTTTAAACATTTGGCCACTGGACAATACTTGGCCGCTGAAATAGACACCGACGAGCCGCGCGAGGCAACGAAAGGCAAGCGTGGTAAAGCATGAAAGAACCTCTTCCTGTATTTTAGAAACCGTATGCTGTATTTTTATCCACGAAAGGCATGCATTTCAAATTATTGCCTCCGTAGTATATATTTAGTCAACCGTTGGATTGAGAAGGATTCCATTTCTTTGCCGAACGTTTCCTTTGACGGTTATTTCGGTTTTCCGAGCTGTGTATTCCTATTTCTTGAAATGCCCACCGTGATTTACAATTTCTTATTTCGTCGTAATTCCTTTAGAACAATAAACCGAGTATTTTTATAATACTTCAAAATTTTAATGAACCTTAGGGATAACCTTTGGTCAAATTAAGAGTTCGCAAGATAAAGCACGTAGAAACGTTTCCCCCTACTATTATATATGCAAATTTTATTTTTCTCAATTTCGTAATCTTGTCATCCATTTCTTATCATTGTTCTGGATCCAATAGTCAATATAAGTCGCATAGCAATACCAAACTATATTTTCTCTCAATCTTTGAATGTCTTAAGAACCGTTGAATCCATGGCCTTGTAAAAGTTATTTTCAATTCTACTGTCTAAAAGGAATGTATCGGTGAATGAAAATTCGGGACTTTTTGTGCATTGTAAATTTGTAAATTGAGGGAGATATCAGATTTTAATCGGTTTTATATTTCGACAGATATTTCTGGTCCAGTGTATCGATTAGTTTCCGTTCCGCACAGCAACGAAATCAGTTCGTTGTTCGAGCTGGATCCGACAACGTTGACTAGAGGTGATAGTTTAGTACCACAGTCATCATTCGTAAGACTGCACCACATATGTACAAATACGTGGGTCCATTCTACTAGCGTGCCCATTGATAAGGACGACGAAAAGCCAGTAATGTCCAAGGTAAATATTTCCTCCGAGTCGTAATAAATCCGATAGAAAATTGCCAACTATCGTACATTTAATTTAATTCTTCATCTCAGGTAGGCTGTGCGCTCAATAAGGAGGATAAAGAGGCATTTGCTCTGAGATCCGTGTCGCCAGTAGAGGTGCGAGATTTGGACTTTGCCAACGACGCCTGTAAAGTCCTCGCCTCGATAAGCGGCAAACTGGAGAAGGGAACAATATCGCACAACGAAAGACGTGCAGTGACTAGTTTGTTGCAAGACATAGTATATTTTATAGCCGGTCTAGAGAACGAGCAGAACAAGTCCGAGGCTTTAGAGCTGGTCGTCCCTAACGCTGTTAGAGATAGGCAGAAGTTGCTCAGAGAACAGTATATTCTTGGACAACTATTCAAGATACTTCAGGTAGTTGTTACTCTCTGTATAGAAGTAAATATCTGTTGGGGTTTACGTTGGTGATACAATTTTTCTTGTCTAGGCACCTTTCTTAGAATCAGCTCAGGGTGAGGGACCATTCCTTAGGATAGAAGAGCTTAATGATCCTCGACACGCACCGTACAAATATATGTTTCGTCTGTGTTACCGTATTCTGAGGCTATCTCAACAGGACTATAGGAAAAATCAGGTATCATTGCGCACTCTCTTTCTTTTATTACGCAGGTTTGTGCATTCTCTGCGTTCTCGTGGGGCTCGTAATCGCGTGAAAAATAAATGCTTTCTTCTATGCCGTCCTGTTATTTAGGAATACATCGCCAAACACTTTGCTTTTATGCAAAAACAAATTGGTTACGATATTCTGGCGGAGGATACCATTACAGCTCTGTTGCATAACAATAGAAAATTATTGGAGAAACACATCACGGCCGCGGAAATCGAGACCTTTGTGGGATTGGTGAGGAAGAACATGCGTACCTGGGAATCGCGATTTCTGGATTACCTGTCAGACCTTTGCATATCCAATAAGAAGGCCATTGCGGTCACTCAGGAATTAATTTGCAAAAGTGTCCTCAGTGAAAAGAACAAAGATATTTTGATAGACACTAAGTAAGTGCTTCTTTTTTTGATTTCCATTGTTACCGCTTCTAACGTTCGGCTAGTAATGATAGTTGCTACTCAGGATAATGAAAACTCGCGTGGAAGTAGAAGATGTAGACGAGAGAGGAGAAAACGAGGAACCGCAGATCACGGTCATCGAAGATCTGGAAATTTTACTCGTGTGGAATAACGGAGCAGTGAGTATAGCGAAAACTTTGATACGGTTTTATCTGTTCGATAACATAAACTGCATGATACCCGTGGTAAATTTTAATTTGCAAACCGTTTCACAGAAAACCATGTCTTTGAGCGAGCTATCGAAAGGTGCAAAAATGGGTAACACGGAGCATGCAGCAATATTGGATTATTATAGACATCAATTGAATCTCTTTAGCAACATGTGTCTTAATAGGCAGTATTTGGCACTTAATAATTTGTCACCTCATCTGGACATTGAACTGATACTAAAGTAAGATCTTCTCGTATAAACACATCATGTATTTTTTATTCTACGACGTATTTACTGTGTCATTATGTGTATTTAGATGTATGGCAGATGAGAGGGTGCCATATGAACTTCGCGCATCATTTTGCCGTTTGATGTTACATCTTCACGTGGACAGAGATCCGCAAGAACAAGTTACACCTGTGAAATATGCTCGACTTTGGTCAGAAATTCCACCGAAAATGAGCATTAATGAGTAAGTCACCTTAAAAATCCTTAAAAATTAACGTTAAGAAGCCTAATTTTACTGCGATTATTTTCCTCATTCCTTCTTTCAGCTACGATACAAATAAAATGCCTGATCTCAACAAGGAAGCGGTTAGAGCCCGATTTAGTTCCACGATAATGTTCGTTGAAGATTACTTGTGCAATGTCGTTGCAAAAATGTGGTCTTTTGCTGACCAGGAACAAAACAAGCTAACATTTGAGGTATCTCTTGAAACCTAAGCGACATTATGTATCATCTGTTTGCTATTCATAAAAATGTGAATGGGTAGTTTCATATATCTGAATTTTTTTCTTTCAGGTCGTTAAACTGGCACGCGATCTAATTTACTTCGGATTCTACAGTTTCAGTGATTTACTGAGGTTAACGAAAACTTTACTTAGCATCTTGGATTGTGTGTCAGAAAGCGATTTCTCCGATGGAAAAATCCCTACAGGTGAAATTGACTGTAAGTTCTACTAATACTTTGTGGTGCCTTAACACTGTTAAACTATTTAGTTTATTATTCATTAAACGTGAACGAGGTCGAAAATTGGTTTGCAACCTTAAATGACTTACAAACTGATTTAGTATTTACCAGTAAACATGTAAGAATATAGTAATTAAAATTTAGACATACAATCAATATGTTATGGTTTCATAATGTTATTAATGAACCTCAGAATAATTCCAGTATTCAAGTCTAGCGTTATGCACAGTAGATACCCTTAAATTATTTTTGACAAATATTAGAAATATACTTGTTCCTTAGCAATATGATCCTGCAGTAAAAATTAAATAGTTTAACAACCTTTGTGACTTAACACGCTTATTCTCAATATATTTCGTTTAGCTGAAACCGTGGATTCAGAAGAAACAGGTAACTTTTGTGTGTTAGAAAGGTGTCCTTACTAACTAACAAGCATGCGTAGTATTTTGTTCATAATTTGAATGTCCGTAGAAAACTGTGCGTTTTGTTCGTATGAAACATTTATATCAACTTACGTTTTGTTATGGCTTGACACGTAGCTTTAGAATGTCCGGTTTGTTAAATTAAGTTTAAAGTTCATCTTAAATTACAGCCAAGTTTACATCAACAACAGTTTATAGATCTAAATTGACATCAAGAGTATTTTTCTGTCGTTTGACATATATTTTTTGATGAAGGTTTTTAGATCCGTTTTATGTTTTCACTATCTTTTTCATAAATGCCCTGTCTATCAGTTCTATTGTTCACTCGAGATTCAACATTGACACGCATTTTACTTTATTAGCTGAAGGTGGAGTGCTACGATGCATTGGAGATATGGGAGCGGTAATGACGAGTTTGACATTAGGACCAGCTGGTCAAGTGTTGACCGGAAATTCATCGCCAAGACCCAAGCCATTGATGAAGAAGGAGTACCCACTCGTGATGGACACGAAGCTCAAAATAATAGAGATTCTACAGTTCATCCTTGACGTCAGACTGGATTATAGGATTTCATGTCTGTTAAGCATATTTAAACGGGAATTCGATGAAACCGAAAGGCTTTCCGGCGACCTGAGCCTAGGACAAAAGGGAATCGATTTAGATGTAATTGGAACACAAGCTGAGGGTATATTTGGTAGTAGGTAAGTATTCGGCAGTTTAAACTATAAACCGTACATCGAAATAATATTTATTAATTTAGACACGGTCAAATATATTCAACGTCTTCGATGTTTAAATCAGGCTATCTCATTTCTTTATTCGATAGAAATCCATTCGAGGTCGTGATATTATTCCCAATATAATATAAAGTAAATTATTATATATCTTTTTTTTTTAATTTTCCAGTGAGGAATGCATCGCATTGGATCTCGATGGGCAGGGAGGAAGGACTTTCTTACGTGTATTACTTCATTTGGCAATGCACGATTACCCTCCTTTAGTATCTGGAGCGTTAACTCTGTTATTTAGACATTTTAGCCAGAGGCAAGAGGTCTTACAAGCTTTTAAACAGGTTATTTCACTTACATTCGAATATTTATCTTACAAAGGCAGAGCACAGTGAACAAATCTTCCTTGCGTTATTTAGGTCCAACTCTTAGTTTCGGACAGCGACGTTGAATCGTACAAACAAATCAAAGCAGACTTGGATGTGTTACGTCAGTCGGTTGAAAAGTCCGAGCTTTGGGTCTATAAATCAAAAGCTACGGAAGAACATGGGGGGAAGAAGAAAAAGAGCAAGGACGAGGAAGACGATGGTACAACGCCACGGAAAGCGCCGCCTTTAGCACACTGCGACAAAAAAGGTTTGCCATATGTTTTAGTTACATATTATTGAACGTAGTTCAGTCTGAATTAGAAAAAGAAAGTTGCACGGTCCAATCTCCTCGGTGTATCTTATATCGGTATCGATATATTTTGTTAATGCTATTCTAGGATCGGCGATTGACTTGGATGTCGGACCTCCTCTTCATCCAGACCAGGCTGAGGAGTACAAAAAGATTCAACAAATTTTAATCAGAATGAACAAGTTATGCATTCAAACGTTCTCTGGTGGACAGGTAAAGCCAAGAAAGCACGAGCAGAGGCTTTTGCGAAACGTTGGCGTGCACACCGTCGTATTGGATCTTTTGCAAGTACCTTACGACACGAAGGAGGATGTCAGGATGAACGAGTTAATGCGCCTGGCTCATGACTTTTTGCAAAATTTCTGCCTTGGTAATCAGCAGAATCAAGTTCTCCTGCATAAGCAGTTAGATCTGTTCCTCAACCCCGGCATACGAGAAGCTCAGACCGTGTGCAGTATATTCCAGGACAATTCGATTCTTTGCAACGAGGTCAATGCAAAAGTCATACAACACTTTGTGCATTGCATCGAGACCCACGGGCGACACGTGCAGTACCTGAAGTTTTTTCAAACGATCGTTAAAGCGGAAAATCAGTTTATCAGGAAATGTCAGGAGATGGTGATGCAAGAAGTAGGTTGATGATAATGATTTTCAGCCCATTTCTCGTTTTGTGAATATATTTATAATTTAAATGTCGTGTTATTTAGTTGGTCCAAGCCGGGGAAGATGTTCTTGTTTTCTATAACGACAGAGCTTCGTTCTACCAATTCGTGGAGATGATGAAGTCTGAGCGACATCGCATGGACGAGAGCAGTCCACTTAGGTCTGCAGTTTGTCATGTAAAAATTCATTACAGAATTGTCATATCGTACTTAGAAGTTAGAAGACTTTTCTTCCGAATTGCAGATATCACGTGGAACTTGTAAAACTACTGGCTTGCTGCACCATGGGCAAAAATGTGAACACTGAGATCAAGTGCCATAGTCTTTTACCATTGGACGACATCGTCGCGATGGTAACTCATCCGGATTGCATACCTGAGGTAAGGACGTTTGAAGATGCAATTCCTAACAAACATTGTTCATTAATCAGATCTGTGCGTATGTTTTTGACGTTTTTACAGGTCAAGGAGGCATACATCAATTTTCTTAACCATTGCTACATCGATACCGAGGTCGAGATGAAAGAGATTTATACGTCAAATCACATGTGGACTCTTTTCGAAAAGACGTTCATCGTTGACATGAGTCTGATCGCAAATGCGACACACGATCGGAAACATGCGGACACTGCTTTGGAGAATTATGTCACCAATTGCGTGATGAACATTATTAGTACCTTCTTCGGTAGTCCATTTTCTGACCAGAGTACTACTGTCCAGGTATGTGTCTTAATTTATTTTCGGATAACCGTATTGTAAAATTAAGCCACATATTTTTAAAATTAAGCCACTACGTTTAGTCGATTGTTACGCAATATTACTATTGGTCTCAAACTGAATTCTATTCGGTGGTACGTACTTAATAATTCTTATTTGGCTTTGGATATCATGGCATGGATTTCGATTAAGTGGGTTCCCCTTCATAAAATATCGTGCGACATAACCTCAAAAGACAAGTCTGTATGTTACCGAATGGATTGCCTTATTCTAAACAACTGCATGCTCTGTATGCCGTTTAAAACACCTTCGTTAATATCCATCAAATTCATCTGAAATTCCGAACGACGTTTGGCGACTACCCCGTAATTGTGTACATCCGATTATCCTCGGCTTGATGGGGACTTTTTTACAAGACGGATAACTATAACGCCATTTATTTACAACATTCGATATTTTCTCTCTGTTTCACTTGCACGTTCTATCGAAGTTCGACGAAATCGAGGTAATTCCTTAGCTCCTTCGTTCGAAGAAGTAATTAAGTTTATTCCTGCAGTTTACTTAATCATGTAAAATTCCATTTGTTGAAACCAGTACCTAAAGATGCAAAATACAGTAAACGTGAAGATTACGATCTGGATAAAAGATTCATTAACTGTCCCGAATGATTTGCGAATGTGCATTGACCTCCCCTATGCAGTAATCAATGACGTACAGCTTTGCATGATATATATTTAAGCTCCTGTGTTATCAAGTACACGTCAATATTAATTATAAAAAAAATTATGACGCGGCGTGTCATTCATAGATGTAGTGCCAGTTTGTTTCTCATTAACAGTTTTCATACGGATAGTTAGTATTTGATGTTAGGACATTTGTTATCTTCACTTGACGTGTGCTTGATCATTGCTAATTGCACTAGCAGCATGTTCTGTGTTTTTGGCATGTGTCAACTGGCCTTTGAAACGACCAAAACCGGTACACTGGGTGCTGGGTCTGTGTCGCATTGGGTTGGTTAACTAACAGAAACATCTGCACGAGGCTAAACTCTTTTGGAACCTTAAGCAATCTGACTGGAAAAAGCCTCAGAGTCTCTCAGGCTGCGTGAGTATCACAGCCAATAATGTTACATGAATCGCGAAATTTAATGGCCCATAAAAAACAAGTATACAAGGCCTAAGGAAACCTAGAAATGAATTAAAACGAATTTATTGCTCTGTTCCTAAAAATGGAAAGTTTGATACTTTTAAGTGTTGATATTTTGTTACAGAGTATGTAGACTTCAAGTCACTCAGTCTACTATCAGAAATTGATCTAGTAATTATAAAATTCCCGAAACTTAAAAAAATACATATATTGCGTTATGGGGAAATGCAATTGAAATTTGTCGACATGCTTTCTATATATACCACGTCGCGATGTTATAAATATCCTACATAGTTTTAATAACAGAAACTTGGTTTAATATGTGATGATTAGCGTAATTAAATGTCGATCCGGTCATTGACTTAAATGCTAAGAAATCTATAGTTCTTATAAAGGACGGTGACTTCTTTACATACTCTGTTTTTTGTTACTAAAGTTTAATAATCGTAACATGGTTTATGATATTTTCATGCTCTCTCTGTGAAAATCTATTTCGTGTAAGTAAATAACGAGTTCTTTCAGTAGTTGTATTTTTTTGTAGTTCATGGGATGAGTTTTTACGATCTCTTTTTAATACATAATAAATAATTAATTTCTTGTTTTTTTTTTGGAACAGACTCGGCAGCCAATTTTCGTTCAACTACTGCACGCGGGATTTAAAGTCTCCGAATGTCCGTGGCTTAATGCCGGACAACGTTTCAACGTGGAAAATTGCATAAGAACGTTATCGGACGTAGGTTCGTATACAATTTATATCACTTTCCATTTTTTTCTTTTTTAACGAATTCTCCAGTAAACGCGTTTATTGCATTTGTGAAATAGCCATGTAAATTAATTACATTAAGTTGTAGGATTACATGTAACTGTTGTATAAACATGACGGGGGCGTTTAATGGATTAGTCGTTTAATAAATTATTTTACAGTCTCTGGTTTGATATTTCATTCTAGCAAAGGGCAGAGGAATAGCGATTCCCACGGATTTAGAGAGCCAAGTAACAGCAATGTTTAACAAAGCTGCCATGCTCAGCAGGCAAACAACGAAATGGCTTCAGGCTGCGAAACAGCCGAAGGTGGAGCGCACCCAAAGTCAGGTAATGCAAACGAGACGTTTATTTTAAGAAAATTCAAATTCATACGTCTAATGAATGATATTACTTCAACTTATCGAGTAACTATATTATTTGAAACAGCTGATGAGGCTGGATCGCAGTATTATCGAAGGGTTGCAGGACATAGTGTCCTTGCTGGAAGAACAATTAAAGCCATTGGTACAGTCAGAATTATCACTACTGGTCGATATCCTTTATCGACCAGAATTGCTCTTCCCGGCAGCTACGGAAGCCAGAAAGAGATGCGAAAACGGTGGCTTTATTCATCGGTTGGTACTTGTATATCTTCTCTTCTTTGGTAGAGAATTACGGTATTAATTATTCTTGTGCGGCCAGATAGCTATTATAAAAAATTGTATCTAGAAAATTTACACGCTGACCGTTACATATACCGTTTCAGGTTGATAAAACACACCGAAAAGCTCCTCGAAGAAAAGGAAGAGAAACTGTGCGTCAAAGTGCTAAGAACTCTTCGAGAGATGATGGCCATTGATCCGGAATACGGAGAAAAGGTTAGTCGTCCTTGCTATTAAGGTGCACGATTGTCTAGGTACACGAGTCACAAGTCATGCAGAAATACAGAATCTCACGACATCGCTGAAACGGGACATTCGGTTAAAGTAATGCCCATTCGGTTTCTCTTCACGCGAAATATCGACATTTCGGTTGGATTCTTCTACATTGAATTTTTCCTTCAATTTTAAATTCTTTATCACGTCTTTTAAACGGATGCCCTGTTACTTGGAACGCACTATAGTCGGTTCGCAATTAGATCTTTAGGCTTGCTAAATTTCTACGTGATACGAATTACTTGTCGAGCTTTATCGCTAGAGACGCACATGGTGCGTGGGTGAGTAGCTTTGGTAGAATAGATCTGTAGGTAAAGGTGTTTTCATGCTGCTTAAGGAAGTTGAGGAAAACTCGGAGCAGGCGGAAACAGGGCAGGAGGAGTCGCGTACCGCGACGGGAGAAACCGAAGAAAATCAAACAGAGTGTCAGCCGATGACTCAACAACAGCGGGTAAAAAATAAAACACCTAGAATCGGTTCGCTGTAGACATGAACGGACGCACCGAGTTAGACAATTCGAGTTGTCCCGATATTTTGGGAACTCGTTGAAAAAAGGAACTCACATCAGAGGATTTATTCAAACAGAAACGACAACTCTCAGAGGCACCTTAATAAAACATGACGTGTCTGTATAATTTCTAATTTGCATTAACAACGTAGCTGAAGATCTGTATATACATGTTCCTTTTAAGATTTCGTTTCTAAACTCGAGTGAAATTTTATACAAATGATGTACTATGATGGTGGTTTATGTTGTTTGGACGATTTATGAGAACGGCAGATTTTTTTTTTAATTTACTTTGAATTTTTTGTATTTGATCTTGACGTCATATGCCAAAGTACGTCGTAAAACACGTATAGGAGGTGCTTATTAAACATTGTAGTAACGGTGCTCCCAGCTTTATAGACAAATTTGCATGAGCGTGATTGAGTCATGCACGTTTCCATTTAAATTCATTTTCCATGTTTGTGTCACTATGCTAAAGTAATTTTATTAAATACTTTGGTATAACGTAATTATTTCATCATTTCCTACGATACTTTTACGAATATTTATGCTACGATTAAGTGTTGTATGCTAAGTACGTTTACGCAGGTATTTTGTAATGAGAATTCCTGATTGAATCATGAGACATTGGAGGTAATAGTAATCTACGGTGGTTGAAGTAATAAGGAAAAGGTTGAAATCATGATGGTTTTAGTCAAAAGTGTGAACGTTTGTTTAAACGTGAGAAATACTCTCGTTGATTACTATTCCTCGAAAATGTTCATATTGATTCACGTTATAGTTAACATTTTTAAAACCCATGGCAGCTGGTTGCATCATTATGCACATATCAAAGGAGGGATATGTATCCCGCAATATAAAAAATATGTACATATTGTGTATATACGTTTAAGTATACAAAATGTACTAATACATTTTTATCGGGATATCATACGTTATTCGCAATAAAGGCTACTCTATGAGTAAATTAATTTCCTAATATTTACTAAATAATAGGAAATAATTCATTTACACTGCAATCGATTTGGTATTCAATTTTATTATTGAAAATCTACTATTTTCCATGCATCATAAAACAGCTCCTTTATTACACATTTTGTGCAACATATACTACTACAATATGCACACGATCAATTGACATCCAGTTTGTGCATTTTCTCTGTAAATATACTAAGCCGTTTGAAGATCATTTCCAATTTTACCCTTTTTTACATGCTTCTATACTTGTTCATGTAAATACCCCTGACGATATTTTCTGCCCTAGGTCCTTGTAAACATGTGCATTAGTCCCCTCGAATTCATCCCCGATTCAAATAATATACGAAGCTGCAATTCCACCAAATGTAAATAAGCAGTTTTAACATTTCTTTACACTTTATTTCAAATATCTATGTGTATCAGGCACAGATTATTCTCACCTTTTTAACATACGTCTCTCACTTACATATAATGTATTGGTACATTGCAATTTACCAAGAGCCTCCACATTGATTATGCACAAATTATTATTGATTCTTTTTTACAGGGTGACGCATTAAGAACCAATCTTCTTATGAGGTACTTCGGTAAATCTTTCATGCAGAAGCCAGAAAACGTTGAAATAGGTCCATCTTGTATTACAGCAGTTATTCATGGACCGGGTGGTAGGGCAAACTTAATGAATATTTTAAACTACTCCGAATGGTTTTGAATTGCGTTTCTTTTCTTCCCAGCAATTTATATAAAAATGGAATTGACAATCTTCATTGTAACACTTGAGCATTTGTATAATCGCTTTTATTGTTGAGTATTGTTTACGTCACTGATCCTTGGACAATCTGTAAAATATATTTTTCGTATAAACTATGCTGGTAATAAAAAATTGGCAATTTTACGTCTATCGGTATATTACTGTTACATTATAACGGTATAAGAATATGTTTAAACGTGCTCTTAAAAGTGATAAAAATATGTTTTTGCAGCAAAAATGCTGAGCCGAGCTGGACGAACATTACATGAAGTTCAGAGTCATCTGGATCGAGAAGGAGCATCGGATTTAGTAGTTGAATTGGTCATCAAGAGCATACACTCACCAAGTATTTTTGTCGAAGCAGTCGAGTTAGGAATCGCCCTTTTAGAAGGTGGAAACCCTATTATACAAAACAGCATGTATAACAAGCTTATGCGTGGCGATTTCAGTCAGTCTTTTTTCAAGGTAGGCAGTGAATTAACGATTCGTACAATTAAGACGTTATTAATTCTGTGTTTTCGCTCAGGTTTTTTATGACAAGATGAAGGATTCTCAACAAGAAATTAAATCAACGGTTACAGTGAATACTTCGGACATCGCGGCTAAAGCTCACGAAGACAAGGAACAGAACAAAGAAATAGATAAATTGTCGAAAAAACGGTCGTCAGGTGTGTTCAGAAAAGTTTAATTAATTTTTACCTAATAACTAATTGGTTAGGTGTAGGTTTGATGTCTGTCACATGTGTAATTATCTTGTAATTATCTTGCGTTTTGATTTGTTAGTGAAGCCAAATGGAATCGTTTTAACGGAGGAACTGCGAGAAGAATTGAATCAAGCTGCGACATCGACTGTTCAAGCTTTTGCAAGCGTTCGTAACTTGTCTTCTGGAGAAGATGTTACTAACAGTGCGATACTTGGATCTGCGCTGGAAGACATGATAGCAGAGAAATTAGAAAGACATCGCAGTGGAGGCTCGGGTAGTGTTGATAGGGATGAATCTCAACTTAATGTCAAGGTCTTGGTAATGCAACCAATCCTGCGATTCTTGCAGTTGCTTTGTGAAAATCATAATCGGGAACTGCAGGTGGGTTGTACATGAGGAATTTTCTGAATTACTTTACAGAACTTCCGTGAAACTCATCATCTCCTTATTGTTTTAGAATTTCCTTAGAAATCAGAACAATAAGACGAACTTTAACTTGGTATCGGAGACTTTAATGTTTTTGGATTGCATTTGTGGCTCCACGACAGGTGGTCTGGGACTTCTTGGATTGTACATAAATGAATATAATGTTGCTCTGATAAATCAGACATTGGAGACTTTGACAGAGTACTGTCAAGGACCGTGTCATGATAATCAGAACTGCATCGCCACTCATGAGTCGAACGGTTTGGACATAATAACAGCACTGATCCTCAACGATATTAATCCATTAGGAAAGACGAGAATGGATTTGGTTTTGGAGCTGAAAAACAATGCTAGTAAATTATTGTTAGCTATTATGGAGAGTAGAGGTGACAGTGAGAATGCAGAAAGGATTATGTACAACATGAATCCTAAACAATTGGTCGACGTGGCTTGTAGAGCATTCCATCAGGAATCTTTGGAGGACGAAACTGATGCCGATGATTCTTCCACCGATGGTGATGATGGCGTCTCGCCAAAAGAAGTGAGTATTATCACTATAATGTGCAGATCATGTTTGTTTGCAAAGTATAGATGTTAAAAAGCTGAGTAAATTGTGCATTTTTACTCTTCTCAGGTGGGCCACAATATCTACATTTTGTGCCACCAACTTGCTCAGCACAACAAAGAATTATCTGTGATGTTGAAGCCATCTGAGCAAAATAATGCTGATCCAAAGATTAACAAGGCGTTGCAATACTATGCATCGCACACCGCACAAATTGAGGTGAAATTAGATTTTTCATTTTACGGTTTTTTTAATCTCATTTTTCCCTCAATTTTCCTCATTTGTTTATTGATATGTTATTCAGATTGTGAGGCATGATAGGACTCTGGAGCAAATAGTCTTTCCCATACCAGAGATATGTGAATTAATAACAAGGGATACGAAAATTAAAGTGCTCAACACCGCAGAACGCGATGACCAAGGATCAAAGGTGTCCGATTTTTTCGAGCGTACGGAGGACATGTTTAATGAGATGAAATGGCAGAAGAAGCTCAGAGGTAAGTACATTCTAAAGAGCAAAAAGCACACTTGTATTGATCAATGAAATCATTTTCTGAAAATGGATTTCAGGACAACCAATGCTTTTCTGGATGAGCAGTTACATGTCTTTATGGAGCAATATATTGTTCAATTGCGCCGTTCTCATCAATGTCATAGTGGCTTTCTTTTACCCATTTATGGATTCCGTGCCTAGTGAGTTCTCAGAACATGAAATCTTCAGTTAATAATTTTTTTTTATACTGTTTCCTCTTGAAATGTGATACAAACATAATATTGGATAACTTTCTGTTGAATTTAGACCTCGGTTCACATTTGTCTGCTCTGATTTGGACGGTGATGCTTTCTTCGGCCGCAATCGTGATTACGTTGCCTAGAGAGTCCGGCATACGTACTTTAGTTGCATCCACGATATTGCGATTAATATTCTCAGTAGGTCCTGAACCGACTTTGTGGTTGCTAGGATTCGTGACCGTAAGTACGATCGTCTTGCGATATCATGCGATTTTAGAGTGAATCTACACATTATTTTTTTACACTCGTAGGTTGTCCTGAAAGTAGTGCATCTCATAAGTATAATAGGAAATCAAGGCACTTTAACGAAGAGTATCGAGCAAATTGTGACAAACGTTGAACTACTGTACCACCTCTCGTACCTGATCTTTTGTGTCCTTGGGATGTGCATGCACCCATTCTTTTACTCGGTACTGGTAAGTATTTTTGCAGATATTCTTTTTTTTTCGATCTGGCTTCTGTAAAGAGACTTTTAAGAAATGAAGATGTTTATTTGCAGTTGTTCGACGTAGTATATCGCGAGGAAACATTACTTAACGTTATCCGCTCGGTGACAAGAAATGGCCGGTCTATCATTCTAACGGCCGTGCTCGCAATGATACTGGTGTACATGTTCTCGATTATTGGCTTCATGTTCTTTAAAGACGATTTCCTGGTCACCGTGGACGAAGAATTCATTCGTGAGTGTCGAATTTAATCTATTTCGACGTTCCGTAATTTCGTACATTTATGCATTGAATCATTTCCAGAGTACTTTGAAGTAGGCAATTCATTAAAAATAGTACAAGACTTGTATGTTTTTCCACAGCTGCGATTCCGGATAAAGTAGGAACATGTAGTTCCAAAGACAGTGAGAGCTGCAAAGCAACCGAAACTCTGTCTCGATACGCCCGCGAAAGTCAGTGCAGACATTACTTGGAATCTTATTTATCCTTATTATTCCGTTGTTTTTCTGACTTCTCTTTATCGTTCATTATTTTCTCTCTTGTACACTAATAGCATTCACAATAAAGTCGAAATAATTGATTTTACTTTTTATAGTACACCAAGGAAAAGTTCGGGAAGCAGAAGTTGTTACGATTGGTGGGGAATTGAAGGAACGTTCTTGCGACTCGTTGGTTATGTGCATCGTGACCACTTTGAACCAAGGTTTGCGAAATGGCGGTGGAATTGGCGATATCCTAAGAGCACCTTCTAGTACCGTAAGTTTCCTTGAATTATAGTAACATCAAGATTTTCTTTTTACACGAGCAATTTATTTGAACACTTACCCTGTTTCCTTTTTTTCAGGAGCCATTATTCGTTGCTAGAGTAGTTTACGATTTACTATTCTTCTTCATAGTCATCATTATTGTTCTGAATCTCATTTTTGGTGTCATCATCGACACGTTTGCTGATCTCAGATCGGAGAAGCAACAGAAAGAATTGATCCTGAAGAATACCTGCTTTATCTGCGGTATGGAGCACATTTCTCGACGTCTTTAAAGTATTAACTACGTTCTTAAAATCATGTCCTTATGTTTTCTTTAAATTCGTGCAGGGTTGAATAGGTCAGCATTCGACAACAAGATAGTCTCTTTCGAGGAGCACACGAAGCATGAGCACAACATGTGGCATTACCTCTACTTCATAGTCCTAGTCAAGGTGAAGGACCCTACCGAATTTACTGGCCCCGAATCTTACGTCTACGCCATGGTCAAGGTAATAGTCCATAGAGCTTGGAAAACCGCAGCGATACTTATTTCTTTAAGCTCTATGTACTTTCACAGGATCGCAATCTGGAGTGGTTCCCGAGGTTGAGGGCTAAGTCTCTAGCCGCGGATGAAGGGGAAGGCGAGCAAGTGGAGCTTCGAAGTTTGCAATCTCAACTCGAAACTACTCAACAGCTGGTCAAGTGTCTCTCCCAACAGCTCACCGAACTTCGTGATCAGGTGAGTGTATTTTATCTTTTACTGTAAAATCGGCATACTATGTACGATTTTCCCTCTATTTTTTTTTGTTCAAATTTAGATGACCGAGCAGAGGAAGCAAAAGCAGCGATTAGGTCTCCTGAATTCAGCGTCAGCGTACCTTCAGAACATGCCGACATAAATCGACCGTTAGTTTCCGTTTCTCGTCGACGAACCTCTGTCTGATACTCGAAGGTGATATTTAATAATCCCGCGTGTGTTCTCAAGAAGCATTTAAAGACGCGTCGGGTAGTAGATAGTCGAGCAGAGGCATCTGTACGGTTTTGTTCCTAGTAGCTGGAGGTGTGGATCATACGGTGTAACGAAACGTATTCGGCACCATTGGCAATTCGGCGTACTCGGTTAGTCGCAAACTACTTCTTGCTGGTACATGCACTGAACGGACTTACGTTGCCCTGGAAATCAGTGTCCCAATATTTTCCCACGTGACAACGGGACGTTATTAGTCCGTAGGAACGATTAAATCCGTGCGTCGTTCGCGAGGCAGAGTATAGATATTTTTGAAACGTTGCATCTTTTGCAAATACGCTCGGTGTCATCGCTCTATACGTATGATGTTTCAGTCTTTACGCAGTAAATGTGCAATCTCCGATATGTGAAAGTTCAAGTACAGTAGTTCGTAAGCAGAGAGTAACGTAGCTAGGACTGGGATGCTGACATTTCAATGTGCCATTATCCGCGCCAAAGCTCCCGCGAATTAATTCGCCAAGAGGCATCCGATGTTCGCGACTCTTGGCATTCGGGTCCTGACAGTTCTAATCTAGACGAAAGTTACTTAAAATTAGACATTAAATGCTGTCACGCGTTCTATCGAAAGTTACGTAACGAGATACTTCGGTAGTTTCTTTTATACGTGTTTTAGAGAAAGCTGCACCAAACGTTCGGTTTTTTTAGACCTGAAATATCGGGGGAACGTTTCGTCTTCTATTTTTGTTAACGGCATCTTTTCAAGCCCGATTCGAGAAATATTAGGGAATCTATCGATACGTCGTTGGGTGGTCGTTTGTATATCTTGTGCACCGCACTCAAAAATTGTTATATACGATTTTATATCGTTTTATCCACGACCAATAACTTTTCGTCTGACTCGGATCTAGCAAGTATAATGACTGTTAGGGATCAATTAAAAGTAACAGGAATTATTATCGAGCGCGTCTAACGAGTAGAAAGGGAGTATAAAAGCTGTAAAGCGATTCAAAGAAACGTTGTTGTGTAATTTTTGTAGTCGTATACACGAATGTTACCGTCATATAGTTATGTACACATATTTCCTTTCGTTCGTCACGTTATGCCAATTGTCAAGTGTACCACCTGCAAGGGAAATGTCCGAGACCTTTTGAATATCTCATGACACATCTCATGATCTATGATCTTTTTAGTGTTGTCTTTTAATTCGTAAACCGAGAGACGGGGAAGTAGCGCGTTTTGGAATCTTATTGATTTCGAGATCGGGGGAAAACATTGCGACGTGATATGTTGAATATTGTAAATAAAATGTTCGAGTAGTCGTATGTCGTACGTTTAATGATGTAACGTTTAAAATACATATCACGCATGCCTCACCTTTCATGATCTTAGAGGAAATTCGAATATCAACTCTCTCTGTGCCAAATCTGTTATATATATGAACGATCACTTCGAATCTTTACATAGACTTGTTAGTTATCTATGAAACAGTGTAACGTATGTCGTGCGTTAAGGAGACCATGTTCTCTCTTTCCCTTTTTATTATTAGGAGACAAACTATTGTGTTTAAATAAATCACGTTTGTTTTTATATATCGATTTTATTCCATCGTCACCACGTGCCTTCAATCCATCGGGAAGGAATGGCGGTCTGTCTAAAAATGTGATATTCTCAACTGATTAATTCTATTTTCATCTTATACATTAGAGTACTCGTAATCAATTGTCGCTAAGGATCTAGGCTCATGCAATTGCTATCCTTGACGAGTCTTGTCATTTTCTTTATTCAAAATCATCATGAAAACACGTATATAATATATAACAATCGGAGGTTCTGTCATCTTAAAATTAACAGCCCTGTGGTGAACGCAGAAGTAAATTAAACCTTCAAAGCATTTATGATAAGTCATTAGAGCTTGATGCATCGTGTGGCTTCGTTGGAGGATCGAGTTCGACACTCGTTAGTCATTAGGAACTTAAACGTCAAAAGAATCGACAAGCTTTTAACTTTGACGGATGAGGTTGGACCCTACGTATTTTAGGCTTATTTCCGACATGTCAAAAAGCATCTTTCATTACGATTTGCATGACCTACCAAAACATACCGAATCTTGTACCAAACGATAGTCGATGCCACGTGCACCATGCGTGTGGTACACTTTGGAGTCTATGCTAATTGTTCGCCAAAAGATGCCTAATTTAGCATCGCAATGTTCGTCGTTCAGAAATCTTCCTCGACGAAGGTCAGACTTGTCGCAATGAAATCCCCAAAACGTAGGTAGTTCATTTCCATCGTAGAATTAATAATGTGTCTTCCTCCTTGAAAAATGGTATTTCCTTGGAATTTATTTGTACGGCTTGTCTAGTGAAAAAAGTGCATCCTTCGGTGTCTTTGTGCTTATGCAGGGTCTTTTTACATTGCGTCACAGAGCACGTGGGTTTGCCCTTACGTTATCGTGAAATCAAACCGGAAATTAGGGAGCTACGAAAGAGACTGTCGATGGTCGGACGAATTTAGTAAAGGAGCAACAGCCATGTTGACATACATGTTTCAATGTATTTTTAACGAGGCTCTTCATTTTTGCCGTGAAAGGAAATATATCACAGTGCATTCATTTATATTCCCTTCGTTTAATTGAACTTATTTAAAGTTAGATGATACAGTTTGTCGAAAGAAAATCACTGGATTGTCGGCTCAGCGATGCCCCTTCCTCGAATTTGTAGCTCCACTTGAAATGGATCGATAAAGCTTAATTAAATAAATCTCGGTAGATTTGAAAATATCGATCTTGCCTATTCTCACTCATTCCGAGACATCATTTTCAGTTTCCTTCATTTCTCCTAAGCTCCTTATTGACCATCTCTATTTAAAGATACGTTTAAATGGGTTCAATATTCGTTGTATATAAATTTCAACCTTTCAATCAATTAAATTCTACATCTAATTAGTGGGGTTCGAATGCAGAACATGCTTTGAACCGATCTAAACGTACATTAGAAAAGGTATCTCTAGTCGGAGTTACCAGAGTGCAGAAATTCTTCTCCCTACTCATACATGAGTTAAAAAAAAAAAAAGAAAAAGGTAAGTATACCTGGGTATACTTATTTTATTCGGTAATATAATAATTTAGGATTTATCCTCGAAACAAGGAACTTGAGAAAATTGTCCACACCCTGATGACAAGAGCTTTATTTCTTGGATCATCGAGTCTCCCGGTAGACTCGGTCCACGGGTGAGTAAGACTATGATAGTGTTTATTTTGTAGTTTATTTATATTTTATATGAAACAATTGACTATTTATTGTGACTTAGATATACACGACTAGTACATGTAACATGTAGTTATCCATCCGGAGGTGAGACGCCTTGAGGGGCTTATCGGGAAGGTTGCTCAGTCGTCGCTCTCGATATAAATACATTTAATTTAATATTTTGCGACACGTTTAATAAAGATGCATTTTTTTTTAAGCGAAATAAAAGGATCACTATAATCGACAATCGGTAAATTACTTACTTAGAACGCTCCAGTTCATTTTTTCAAAGTATCATTTCAATAAACTTTGCGAAATTAAGTGCGCACTAACATATGTTGTTAATATATTTCTTAAATAATAATTCTGAATGTAGAAATGTAAAATGTAAAAAATGTAGAATGTAGAATGTAAAAAAAGGGTCATACCGTAAGATTAAGTGTATGAACACCTTGTGCTGGCTGTCTTACATTTGACGAAAAAATATGGTGCAATGAACTAATTAATGATAAATTACTATTAAAGATTCTTTTTTTAGAGACGCGGCAAATCAACCTTTCAGATAGGCCAGCTCGTTTCGACCGATAATTGGCTCGATGTGAGAGCTTTACTTTATTCGTTCGGTTTCTTTAATTTTAACCGATAGACTTTCATCCTTGTTCTGATGAGGTCGGGAGACGAACACTCGAATGGTGTCATTTTTCCTGAGTGTCTATCTCTATGTATCTACGTGATGAAAATTTAACGGGATAAGTCATTTCCAGAATAACGAACCGTTTCCAACAATTTCCTCATCCAGGAATCCAGTTCAAATCGATCGATCGATTAGAGAGAAGAATTAATTGACCCCAAAATTAAAATATCAAGTTCCTATTCTAATAGATCGGATTTACGTACAGGAAATCAAAGGACGCCACAGTCTTGCGTAGGAATAAATCGGTATTAAAATAATTATCAGTGCGCCGTATGTACGTACATTAATATATAAATAACGTGGAACGAACAGTAGGATAGAATTCGTTGATTTAATCACTTTAATAATTGACTACATAATAGACAGAGCAATTATCGGTGGGTTGATTAACCGATATTATAGATGATTATTTATACGCCACATATTTTCATAATGACCAATTAAATCCCGCCGTGTGTACTTCTGTTTCACTGATTTTCAACTGCTTTGAATTTAATGACGAAAATGATCAATTTCAGTGACGCGATACTATCAATGATAGTTCTTGCCGATATTAAATCAAATTAATATTCCCCCGTAATACTCATTGGTACTCGGAATGAATACTGCAAGGGCTGAACGACGTGGCTGATATGTCATCTATTAAATATTATTTAGCGAACGGTCCTTTGCAGCAATGGTGTGGTGCGCTCCCGTTCATTGCACCTGCTGCAATCACGTCCGTGATAAAAGAAGTATGATTAACGATGCTTCGATCGTTCGATCGATTTGAACTATTGCAGGAGTTCCGTTGTTTTCGAAATAGAATGGTTTGTCAATATAGGAATTTTTAATGTTTCGTTCTTCCTCGTAAATCATCGACTAAGGTGAAAGAAAAAAAGTGTTAAAATATAATAATGATGTAAATGAGGTTTGAGCAATAAAGCAATCTTTTGTTTACGGACCTTACGAGCGGGGAATAACAAATACAATTTTTTAAATGAAAAACTAAACATTTCGCGATACATATCCCTAATCTTCTTTTTTCTCGTTTAAGTTCACAAGTGGTTGGCGACAAACAATGAACGTTACTTCATTTTATAAAATTCATCACCGAGTCATACATACTTTCCCGTGTAAACCTTCTTGATCTCTTTCTTTCCCTTTCAGTCGATCAACCAACATCTTCCATGTAACCTCGCACTGATTTACAACAGTTACGTACATTAAATATTTAGTGCCTAGTTTCCTTCCTTTCTCCGCAATTTAATAAAGAATGAATAATCATTGATTCTCAATGATTGGAACTGTTCGGGATAACTCCTAATATAGAAAATAGGAATCATTTGCTAATAACGAATATTGAATTCCACGAAAAGGTGTCGAAGGAGATTTATAAATGAAAATAGGTTAAGAATCGAATCTTGAAATTTATGTTTTACGACTTCATGCGTCATAGAATTTTCTAACGAAAAGGAATCACGTGGGTCCTTATCCAGAGATATCCTGAACGATTCTAGAGATCCTTATAACAGTAAATCGAGAAGTGTCATGGACACGCGAAGCTCGTTCGTTAAAATACATTTTCCTTAATTTCCTCTTAAGGTCGACTTAGAATTCTACGATATTAGAACTAATTGCTTTACAATAATTCCTTAAGTTCTTCGAACGATCGTCCAGTGTATTCTGTACAAACCCTACTAACCTACTGCTTTTATGTACACTCCACTAAGTTGTTGTTTTTTTTTACTGTTTACCGATGCATGTTACGTGAGGGATTACGAGAGGGCATGAAGGATTTCCGTAGTATTTAACTACGTCCTTCCGTGAAATAGCTCTATATGTATAATATGTACAACATGGCTGTCGACGGACAGTACTTTTGTCGATCTATAATACTTGAGAACCGTCAGAAATGAAACTAACCTCGCCGCTCTCAAAATCCTTCAACATATTATTTAAAGTTTTCCAAATAACCGTAAACTAGAAAAGGTACAATTTCCATAGAAATAATATTCTCGTGGATGTTCCGGTGTAAACTTCGCGAAGCGTTTAAGGGTGGAGGAGTTACTCGAAAAGTATAAGCAGCATTACGAAAGGGAGAAACCTGCATCTACGGGGAAATAGTTAATTTACATATTCCGCCCTTATCGTTCTTCCGTAATCTTCTCTTCGGAGTTATTGAAACGTGGCGGTGTTTTGTCAGAACTTGGCTTACCTAGTTTCAACATTTATCGGTTGCCTCTTTTGGGCTCTTGCTTGGCTCCAAGTGCGGACACGCAGGATTCCCCGTGAGGACATTCAACGGGCTATGAAAAAGGCGAGGATAATCGTCAGGGTACAGTGGAGGAGCATTTTGTCAGCCATATTCCTATTTGAAGATCCTGCTATTTGGTTCGGTGCGGGAGAAGGCCCACTTTTCCGGGTATTTGCCGTAACGGAGTCGCTTTTCCATCTTATCGTGTATTGCGGTGCCGTTCTGCTTAACGCGTGCAACCTAAGGATCGTTAAAAGAAAATATTAAATCTTCCAAATGTACATCAGTTTTGTATATGGAAATAGGAAAATATTAAATCTTCCAAATGTACATCAGTTATGTATATGTCTTCTTCGTTTGCTTGGCTCGTTTGAATAAAAATATAAGAATTTAAAAATGGCACTCGAACTATACCGAATTGTAACTTTTTTCCATGTATTTTCAAGTCAAATGTACAGAATTCCGTTTTATGAATGCAACTCTTGAGCACACTGTAATTAAAAATCTTGTCAGTAATACTTTCATGGACAGTGACTGACACGTTTATTCAATGGTTGTCTAATTTTGTCACGATTTTACCATGGAAAATACATAGACAATGGGTATGTACGTGTAGATGCACCTTTTTTAATTTGTCGAAAGCCATTCGTCTCTTTCAATATTCCAACAGAGGTTTTCCAGTTAATATCTCGCAATTCACTCGTAAAAGGAAAATTGGAAAATGTTTAAATAAGTCGTGTATATTTCATACTACACGGTCAATTTTAATGGTCATATTTATATGAATACATGGCAAGTGTTCAACGGGTAGTAAGGAAATATTTCAAGTTGACGCTCAGTCGGATTTGCACTTTATTTGTGCAAAAAGTACCATTTCCAAGCAAACTGTTTATCATGAATGAATAATTCTTTAATGTCGTGAGACACGATAATATTAGAAATTCACCTTACTACTGCAGTATTCATCTTCCAGGGTAAAGTAAACGTTTTGTGTTGATCCCTAGAGCAGAAGGTGTGCAGTCTTGGACCAACAGTGCCGTTGTCCTTAATGTATTCGTGAATCGTTAAATTCCAAGCTGTACAGGGCCCTGCACAAAATTCACATTGTTTAAAGTCAGTTTAGAGAGTCCTTTGACGATATTTTTCGTATTTTTTTGCAGGGAAGATGTGCGAGGAACAGCGGAAAACGTTATTCTAACAAAGCGTCGTTATACAACGCGTGTAACAGTGGAATAATACTTTTTTACTTCCTAAAAAAAAAAATAATGAAAAATGTATGGAGAGATATAGCTTAGCGGGCGTTATAAGTTCATGAATAATTTGCAGAATGTGTTATGCATATGTATGCTGATTTCTTTGATCAATAATCAATAATTCACGTTTGAAAAGGTTAAGAATATTTGGAAAAGGTGGTCGTTGAAGCGGATTTCTTTGCAAGTCCGGAGGTGAAAACGTGGTCGCGTGATTTCATGTCAGCCTAAAGGAAATCCGACAAATAGACGAGTCGAATGGAAACGGGCCAGGTGATTAAAGAGACCATTAGATTTATTTGAAGAAGAATAGCTGAAGTCGCGCTTCGATCCCATCTTCGAATCCGGCTGTGCTTCTTTTCTTTCCACTTTTCGACCTCCTTCCGGTTGGCCGGAACTCCGAGCGAAGCTTCGCGGGGGCTCCGGAACAGGAAATGGCTTTAATATACTTTCTCGCTGGAGAACTGCGAGAATTTTTCATCTTTCTTCTGACGATTTTTCGCGGCAATTTTCCCCTTAATCATGTTTCACGTATTGGAAACAAGAAAAAGTCGCGGCTAAATATTCCCATCCTTCGTTGATTTGAAAGTTCGATTGCGTAATGCATTAGGGACTGAAGTTCTAAGCAGTAATGTTCCGTTTAAAAGGAATGTTCATTTAATTTGTAAAATTATTATGTAGTATGCCCAAATATTTTAGTTGAAATTCCAACTAATACCTCACCTTGATATCAAAATTGCTCGTCTGTAGTATTTACTAGTCTTCAAAATATATCATTTATCGTATTTAGTATTAAAATTGAAAGCACTTGGATTTTTATGGTAAAATTCAAAATAATTATTTCGAGCCTCTGCAGGAAAAAGAGATACGGAATGTGCCGGGTATATCCAATGTTCTACGGCATAACCAACACGCGGCAGGGTTGTCGACAATGGTAAAATAAAAAATCATAACGTTCCTTATTTTTGATGAACTTTTATGCCGTCGTTAATTAATTAGATGAGTCGGCTCTTAATTGGATGTCTGAGGCTGCGCGCGAATTTTTGGGATGCATTTCACGAGATAATGAACGGTTTCACAGTTTTGCGAATACCCGCGGTTAACAATTGGACGAATTTATTTCCCGACTTATCAAACGAGCTGTCGTTAGTATCACTGCGCTGCTTTTTCATGCTCTCGATGACGAATTTATTTCCCAAAGGGAATCGATGGCTTCGTCATCAGCGTCACTCTCCGGTTTTTTGCCTAAGAATCGAGGATTATCTACGTTGCGTTTCCTCTATTCATTTGTCGATAAGACGGCTCCTTTCTTATCCGCTGCGAAAGTTAAGTTGGAGCTTCCGTCCGATAGCGAAATCTACTTGATTTATACAAATGTTATCTCCCGTTAGTTTTTGTTAGATCAAAGTTTAAAGCAGATGCAACAGTGACCGATGGAGTCGAACAAATCCAAGTTCGACGGTATTCTTGAACCTTCAATAATGCTCTTCCTTCACAAAAATCGTGATTACGACAGTTGGTACAATCATTGATAATTTGCCCAGTCTTTTTGTAAGGCCGTGTCAAGGTGTACGCTATCACCGAACATTTTATATGTATTATTAATCCAACATACCTATATTGATTTTAACGCGCATTTAATTCTAGAGAATTTAATATTGGATTTAAATCCACAGCTTATCCGCTGGTGAATGGTATAAAAATATTGGACAGTCATTATTTTAGATATATTTCCGTAGGTTGGCGAATTTGAAGAGGAACTCACGATTTTGTCCGGACTCCACCTGGATGGTCAGCTGTCGATCCGTGTGGGAGTACAAGACCCAGGTGCATTTTTGTTGATAATACTGGTTCAATTTGAGGTCATGACTGGCAAGGTCTCCACCGTTGACCTCGCCTTCGGGTCTTGTAATATTGTGCACACCGCAATAGGAGTCTCTCACGAATTTGTAGGCGGCCTTAAAGCTGAGGCCAGTCTCCGACGATCTGGACCACTCGATGTAGACCGGGGTCCAACTCCTTATGCCAACAGGCTGCCACTCCTGTGGAAGGTCTCGAATCAAGAGACGTCTCCTCGAGAATGGAACCCGAAATAAATGGAATCCTCGAAAATGAAAATCTCACCTGATAGTTTCCGCAAAGGCACGTGACGACGGCACCAGTCTCCGAGACCAGCAGAAGGTGGTCCATGTCGTCCAGGGACTTTTTGCTGTTACATTGACATCCGCTGTCACCGCACCATGTATCACACGGACTGCCTGGAGTTTGTTTTGTACTGTTCTCCACCTAAAATAGAGCAATCTCGGATGACTCCTTCTCGACCTCGTCAAAGATCTATGTAGTTCAAGAGGTTCTCGTAATAAGGCATTCGTATTCTTTTCATGATACTTTCAGAAGGTATAGAAAAAAACAAAAACAAACCGAGGGTGACGTTAATGGTTAATACCATAATTTTGTAAGTTGCCGAGACTTAAGATAAGATAGGAGATGTATTTTATAATAAACAGATGCTTTTGAGAATTTATGAAACCGTTTTTAGGAGAGTACTTCTTGATTTACCTAACGACTTAAGAGGGGATTGTGAGGGATTTACCGTGATGATAACCGACTGATTAGGTGCTGGTATAAAGTATTGCTTGCACTTTACAGGACCTTCCAAAACAAAGAGCCTGTAAGGCTCGGGGTGAAGTACCGAACCTTCCTCCGGTGAGCTCAATCCAAAATACTCTACGTCACAGACACTTGCTGGTTGTTGAGTGCCTCCTTCACGTTCTGAAAATCCAATACGAAGAAGGCGTCAAACTTTGAAGAAAGACCCGAGGGCTCTCTAAAGCCGAGCTGTTAATCGCCCGGCGTTACTTTGAGACCCAGGAGGGTGAATGACAAAAAAAATGATCGCCTCTTGCGACTCAGAGGACTCGGAGGACCACAGCTTCAAAGGAACCTTCCAAAGGAATGAATAACTTGTAAATCATTTTTCTCACTTGTAAGTCTTTTTTCTCACAGGTGTATCTAAGAGGTGATGTTAATTTATTCACTTTTTATTGAATTTGCATTCGAGTACAGTTTTATAATATCAATAAGGCACTTGTTTGGAAAGCAGAGTTGGGTTAAGTATTTTATTCTGTTCGTTTTATCTTTTTTCATTGACATGAAACAGGATACGGTTGGAAATCATTATTTACTTAGATTTGATTAAAAATTAGTAACTATAATTGCCAGGCATGATTAGGAAGACTTTTGACGATAATTTTTATGTTTTTGTCTTTATACTTCTATTTAAATTTTTAAGTATTATCATTTTCAGACATGAAATATTTGTAATAATCGCGAAACACTGAGGCCTTTAGTCCTCTACATGTTGTTCTTCCTTGACAAGGAATTTCAATTTGGAAATTACTGGTTGACTTTGTATTTTACGCTGGCAAGGCAATTTTATCTCTACGAAACGTTCCGTTTCCTTTTTGGTTTCTTTCCTTGAAAAGAAAACCTTCGTTCCTTCTTGAATTTCCTTTCACGTTACGTGCACGAGGAGCTTGTTATTTGAAAAGCTCTCGTGAGTGTTCAGGTGTCACACAGGCTACGCAGACTTGCTATTGTTACAGACGTGACATTTCAATATATCGAGAGGACAAGTCAGATATATGTATGTCTTTAATACTTTCAGTTTTAGAATCGGCTGAGATTGTAATAGAATACATGAATTTCAATTCTGCCTAACAAATTTCAGGAACATACATGCCTCGATTACTTCCGATAATTTGCGGTATTAAAATGAATAAAAAATTATAAAATCTCAGCTGTAATTGGAAACTCTTTTTCCTTACTTAGATTAGATATTAATAGCTTCTTTAGCACCTAGGCGTCGCTTGAAATAATCAGTCGATCACCTTCATTTATTTTCAATTATTTTTTTCGTCATTTAAAGAAATAAATTTAAGATTTTTCAGGAATACTTTGAATAATGTAATGATACTCTTTTTTTCACTCGACGTTTCAGAGCAAGATATTCCCGACATTGTCTGAACGACATAGTTCGGTATGGAGACATCTAACCTGTGAGTAATTCTCAGGATTACCGAACAGGCATCCATGTCCTGAGCTTTGATATCGATAACGTCAAAGCCGGCTAGGGGCAATTAGTTAGCATTAATTCGTGGCAAACAGAGAACTCGGCAATGCTCTGAAGACAGAACTGCTGAGCCAAGACATAGCCGTGGATTAGTCGTTAAGTTAAATTACACGCTTTGTCCCATGATCTTACGTAACCTATTACGTTCATTGACAAATTACCCAAATCTGCAAGAGCAATTAACAAGGGTATTCGATCTACATTCGAGTTACACCGAATTAAATTGAATTCTACACTTAAGATAAATCACCGTATTTGTTGTTTATACATAAACTCAAACGGATTAATTTTTCAGAACGATATAATATTTTTGTGTGCTATTAACTGTCCTTTAGAATTTTTTTTGGTAATCGAAATAGGTCTCTTATCAAAGTTCATTCTTGAATCGGATTTCCTGCTGGATATGTAAATTTATTGTCAGAGCGAAGTCGTGCCCATCAGTAGAATTGAAAAATCGACGATGACAAATGGAAGTCGAGAGGAAATTACGGACTGACGTTTGCATGTCAAGTTCATGGTGATTGATACAAAACGTGTGTTTGTGTTTCCGAAATATACGACACCTTTGGATAAATATGTATCAACGGAGGTGTTGAATTCATGGACGGACCTTTTTCATCCTTACCATCGTGAAAATAATATGAAACGTCCATATATTCTTCATCCGTTGGACTATCAGAAGAGCGCACCAAAACGATGGTCATGTCCCTTCCTGATGATGAATACCGCCGTTGTTCAACGTACCTGTACAAATAAGAAATATTTAATTGTACAAAATAATCTGCATGGAATTACTATTAACTTTGATCATAATGAAAATGATACCCTTTCAATGACTTACACCGCAATGATTTAAAATTTGTAAAAACAAGCTCGATCATATTGTGTTTCGTTACTTCTAAGAATCATTTCCCTAGAATAGAGAGCAGTGTACTTCCTCCGAAATTCAGGTTTTGGTATGAACGCAAATGCTCCGTTATCGAATGATATTAGAGTATCATTGGTATTTAATTTTATTTCGCTTTAGTATATAAAGGAGTTTCTAAGTGTAAACGGTATTGGCCGATCAGTCGGCTTATTATCGTCTTCAGATAGTTCAAGTCCAGAATAGGCAGGTGATAAAGTTCTCAGGTATAACATAAACTTTAAGCGGCAATTCCTGTCGTTTTCCTGCCTGTTAAACGATAGATAAACTAGCGGCAATATAAGCGAAGGTGGTTTACGGTTCCTGCAGAAGCCGTCACCTTTAAGAGATCGAACATGATCAAATTGTCGATTAAGCTCGGGCTTTACAGCTAAGATTACGTCAATGAAGTTTAACTTTTTGTTACTACATTATTATAAAATGCGATATTACGTGCCATTACTGTTAGGACATACAACGGTATCGTTAATGACACAGTTTATAACAAAGAATATGAATTTCGTGGGGTGGATTTAAGAAGTATTCCTAAATACCCCTCTAGCGAGAATCTAGAACATTCTCCGTTGCTTGTGAAAATGTCTAATTAGCCTCGGTGAAATAAATGGCCCGGATGGTACCATAAATCCTCAGGATTTCCTAACCCCCAAACCTTACCGGCCAAAGCCAAAAAGGTGGTTTGCCGTTTCCGCAGGAGGCTGCCCCCAGAAGATTGATCATGGCGGAATTGCTGACCGCGGTGAACTTTTATCAGTTTCTCCGCTACTTAATTTGACTTTCGGTCATTTTAAAAACGGCACACTAAAAGTACATTTACGTAAATTAATACGCACCGTCTTAAAAGAAGCAGTAATCAGCTCAGCAATTAATTTAAAATTCCTCAGATACACGATCGCCAAAAATCCGTTTAATAGAATTCATGAATACTTTACGAACGTACAAGGATAAAGGACGATTTACCGTATCCGAAATGATACGGTGAGTGGGGGTACGTGGTACTGTAATTGTAACACGCGTTTCATTGGTACTGTTTAAATTGTCGGCGATAAAGATAGGATGAGCAGTACCACTGAAAAGCGTATTGCAATTTTTGTTCATCCCATCGACCCTGGCACGTGAACCGGTAAATGTAGGATAACGTGAGTCGAACTTTACGGCGAATCGCGGGAATTTTCAGCTCGTCCTGGTAAAATGGATGACACAGGAGGACGTGACGATAAATTTGTAGGATTTTCCAAGGCCCCTAAACGATTGGCAATGAAGGGAGGAAGGGGGTTCCTGCGGGATGCGGAATCCCTATCCAGGAGGTCTACCATGACCGAATTGATGAGCTGGCCGAACCTTACGCGGTATTGTAATTGTAACACGTGTTTCAATGGCACTGTTTAAATTGTCGGCGATAAAGATAGGATGAGCAGTACCACTGAAAAGCGTATTGCAATTTTTGTTCATCCCATCGACCCTGGCACGTGAACCGGTAAATGTAGGATAACGTGAGTCGAACTTTACGGCGAATCGCGGGAATTTTCAGCTCGTCCTGGTAAAATGGATGACACAGGAGGACGTGACGATAAATTTGTAGGATTTTCCAAGGGCCCTAAACGATTGGCAATGAAGGGAAGAAGGGGGTTCCTGCGGGATGCGGAATCCGTATCCAGGAGGTCGACCATGACCGAATTGCTGAGCTGGCCGAACCTTAACAACCAGCTATCGGGGTTCCCTAGGGGTGTCGGAATACAGCCCCGAATACGGTCCCTATGAATCTGGAATATTACGGAAACACCCCAAGGAAATGCGACGAGGAAGGTCAACAACTTGTGGATATTGAGCGGATTCGGAGGCGTTTCGTAACCAATTCCGCAAAATTGAGTATCGACAGCGGAAACGTCTCGCGTGTATTTTCGCTATTTGCCGGCGACTTTCCGCCCGTCGCGCTCTATTTCTTTTGCTCACTTGAGAAATACCCCGAGAAATCCCAAAGAAGAGCATTCAGAACGAGATCGAACTCACCCCTTGTAAATACCGGTATCACTTTCGCCACGGTGCTCATCCACGTGTGCGTACATATATCTGTGGTCAACACCTATATTTACGCAGCCAACTTTTCGTGAAAACCCGCGAAATGTGCTGATTCGCAACTTTTGTGCCTCCTTTTGCTTGAATAATATATTTTGCAGCGACGTGTACACCCGAATTGGGTTAAATAATATATTTCGTAGCTATGTGTCCCCGATAGATACATATTATTTTACTGATATGTTGTTTATCGCTTACCATTGCATTTGTATCGATTTAAGGTACAGTTTTGATGCTCTAAATGAGCTACGATGGAAAAATTAAGTAACTTATTCATTCCGTAACTTTTTGCACACATCCGAGACAATCTACCGCCAAATTTCTAACATTAATATTAAGTAAGCAGTGAGGATGAAATTCTATCAATTGAAGTTGGTTAAATTGAATCCACTTGGAAGAAATATCTAGGGACACTTGTATTTTCAAGTATTTGGAAACGTATTCCAGTTACTCCTTTCGAGGTCAAAAGTAGTTTAGAATTGTTGGAACGCGAATGGAGTTACCCTGAAAGTACTTTAAAGTTTTCGGACCATTAACTCCCCTCCGCGTATTTTCCTTTATCACCGCGTTCCTTAACAGTTATTTCTTTAATGATCGGCAACGATCCCCCGAAATACTTAATTAAACAATTCGCAAATGTAATTAAACATTCACATCTGAGAAATCACGTTGGGCAGCCACAAAAATGTCCATTTAATAATGACATTCCATTGCCGATCACCCAGATGTAGTGGGATCCCTTTAACACTCGGAATTGTAGATATTATTTTCGAAGTCACATTTGGTGGAAAAATAAATAAAAATTAAATTCTGCAATCTGAAAAATAATATCAAGAACTATTTTATTTTTTACATTAGGTCAGATCTGTAGACATGTAGTTTTTAATGGCGATGGGGAATTACGTAGGAGAGAAATCCGTACATCTTTGACGGAAAGGGAGGTTCTCGTGATACGTTAGAAGCTGTTTGCGGTATATCGGCTTAAAGGGAGTCGGCGAAAGGAAATTGCGATCGATCGAGGCGATCGAAGGGTCGCGAGACCGCGATTGGTTGATCGATCGCCTTATGAATGAGCATAAGAGCAAGTGGAATCGGCGAGGAGATTTCAAATGAAAGCTAGAATGCGAGAGCTGAGCTTTGAGGAGCTGCTCCTCGGAGCGAAACATCAAGCGACCCAGTTGGCTCATCCCCAGGCCTTGATCGCAGTTTCCGGCTCTGCTTGCAAGCGTACGTGGACGAATTTGCATTAGCCTTGTGGTATGCAACTCGGTAGCTAGTGTAACGAATCCTCCATCTCTTGTGCTACGATTTGATCAAGGCCCTAAAAACACAATATCTACCAAAGCCCTTCGTTGTTAAGTAGTCATTACGATATTTCTAAATCAATGAAACAATTCAACAAGAACTCCGTTAAACTATAATACCCACTGCAACTCTTCATTGTTAGATAGATTTACGATGTTTTTAAATCAATAGAAGAATATGCTTAAATACTTTAGGGATTTGAATCGCTTTAAACATCTTGGAATTCTTTTTTCATTACTTTTTCTACACTTCCTCTCAAAGCCTTTCTTAACCCTTTCGTTACCTTGGACGAGATATCTCGCGACTCAATACTGGCTGAATAACGCTTTTGACAAGATATCTCGCGATCCGGTAGTAGCGGATTAACGCTTTTGACGATAATCTAGCTTTCTAGCACCAATACTTTGACATTCTAGATGAATATATTTTATAACTAATTCTATTCGTATAGCTAAAAGGAAGAAATAAATACAGTTTTTATTAATTTAATGAAATTATTTTTATTTACTTTCTACGTGGTATAATTGAAAACATGGTGTTACGCATAAAGCGACATTACACTTCTGACAAAAATATCGTGTTTCCTTACGTTTCCCGTTTTCTTTGCATACGGTGCAAGGAAATATTAGTGCTAGGAAGCTAGATTATCGTCAAAAGCGTTGATCGGCTACTACCGGGTCGCGAGATATCTCGTCAAAAGCGTTGATCGGCCAGTATCGGGTCGCGAGATATCTCGTCAAAAGCGTTAATCGGCCAGTATTGGGTCGCGAGATATCTCGTCCAAGGTAACGAAAGGGTTAATAACGGACTTAATTTCATTAGTTTGCAATTTTCTTTTGAATTGATATCATTACCTTTGTTAATGGTTACATTTTTATTCGCTTCAATTACGTGAATTCCGCCGCGTTAAATTTTAATTTAGTAAGCTGTTGTCAGGTTGGGTTCGCGTTAGGAAGCTCGAAATCCGAATAGAGGGTCGCATCGATACATGGATAAGGGATTGGAAATCTTTCTACCCAGTCGCTTATCTTGCCGGTTTCGTCCGTTACCGTCTAAGGTTGCCGCTCAACAAACGTCTCATATCCCGGGCCGAGTATTTCCGACCGCTTGCATAATGCATACGCGGGTTCCTTCCGGCCACTTCCGGCTCTCGGCGTCTCCGTCTCTCACCCTTCGGCAGCCATCTAGTTCTCGCGCGCACCCCTGGGACTGCCGAGAGAGATTCTTTCGCTTTCCCTGCGAGATGCTCACTCAAGGTCCATCCGTCTGTCTGTCTGCCCTGGGAATTCGGCCCCGATGCCCCGCATCGTTTAACCCTAACTTCGGATTCCCGGTTCCATCCCACTTCCGGTCCCACCCAGGATTCCTTGCGGGAACGGACGAATCCATTTTCGATAGTGCTCCTTTTCAGAGGACCAAAGTATGACCGGATGGAACCTCGAGTACTCTCGAACAAGGCGTATGAATTTTTATCAAATTCTTTTCAATCCGGAGAAGTACTCTCAGCTATCCTCATCTTCTTCCCGGTGACGTTTGGTGCACCCTTTTCCATGAAGTTGGCAAATGGATGGTTGGACTTTCTTATCTATCAGGTATTTTTATTTTTATTAATGATTACAAATGCATTAATAGTCTTTTTATAAACAAATATGCCTTGCAGAACGATGGCTGGAGTTGTGAATGTATCTTCTTGCGTATTTAGATTGCAGCGTTTTTAAAATATGTATAAACTTAATATTGTTGCGGAGATTAACAGCGGATTTTGTTATCAGCTAATCGTATTTAAATTCGATATTAATAAATTGACCAATCAACCGCTGTTTTTCCCGGATTTCTCTTTCCCGGATATGTGAGGAATAATTTCTTCAAATGTGCGTTTATGAATCCCTGGAAAGCTCGAAAGTCAGGTGGAAATTAACGAACCTCGTTCGGTCCAATTACTCTACGAATTACCACATGGAAATTCATTATAAAATGACTCACTTTATGAAACCCTCCGGGGATTAATATACCCGATTTGCATGGTTATTCCTTCTTAAAATAAAGTTCCACTGACAGAATATGTGCCAGTTCCTAATTATCGTAAGAGTACTTATCCTCCCCGTTTATCCACGGCCACCGAAATATGTACGATATTCACGTTCCTAATATTTCCACGTTTCTTTCCAATTTTGCAGAACCTTGCCTCCTTAAACATTGTGCGTCGTCGGTACATCCAAGTAATAAAAATGATTTGTAGAAAAATCTCTGCGCCAATTCGGTTAAAATCTACGGGAAGTGACAAATAATGAATACCAATTTATACTCTAGTGGCATAGAATAATTTCTAAATATTTCTTTGTAATCTTTGCTAAATATCTCAAGCGACAGATTTCTTAAGATTTCTTGTAGATTTCATTCGAAGATATTTGAAAAATATTTGTTGAAAATCTCAATGACGTATTTAGTTTCAATAATTTATTAACATATATAGAAATGATATTTTTTAACCTATGACCATAATAAAAATACATTTTTTACTTCACGACTATTATCGGACACTTCGTTTGGTATCAAAAAACACGAGAAATTTTTCTAATATTTTCGTTTCGCTATTTCATTATGGGAGCAAAACGTGTGATTTTAATTTTACATATTTTTAAAACGTTAGTAATGTATTTGGAAGATATTTAAATAATACTTGTATTAAAGTGAAACGAAATGTTTTGCATATCTGGTAGGAAAATATTATGAAAACACATGGAGCTAATATTATATAAATATTATAGAGATAATATTCTAAAGTAAACGTTTTGCAAATGTGTTAAATGTCTGCGAAATATATACAAAATGTACGATATTCGTTAAATATATAGAAAATATAGGACAAATATTTTGTGCTACTAGAGATACGATCATTCAAAATATAGCTCGTATATTAAACTTCCCTTGACTTCATTTAATTTTCGCCTGAATATCAAACTGCCGGTCATTTTTACAGCTCGGCCAATTTACCGAAGCTGCGTTGGACTCGTTAACTGTATTTCCACTATAAATTCTCAATCCAGGTAATATTTATATCATGCTTTCATTTTCGTTCCATTCGCGGAACACGCACAGAGCGATTCCGTGCCATTCGCTTTGTTCAGGTGGATAATACCGGAAATTTTGCAGAAATGAATTTGGCGTATCGCAACCGAAAAGCAGGAATTCCTCGCCGTTAACTGTACGGATGCATTGACATTTGTGTATTATGCGGACAAGCCTGCCGTTATGTTACATTCGAAGGATTTTCCCACGCGAAACGCAAATGCGATCGGCCACTGACACGTGCAAATACACAAGCTCGTAATTCATAGTTTTACATCCGGCATATCGATGGTATCATTTTCCAGACACCTCAACCTTCCAGAGAAAAGTGCGCGCGATTCTCGATACGCTCCCTCCTAGGAATAAATGTATGCGAAACGTGGGAACAACAAACATCTAGAAGTTATACGTCTCGGATATCTTATTTCTGACGTGCACTACAAACAATGAATGTCGAGAAACATTAATGTCGGATAAACTCGAAAATGAATGTTTTTTTTAGTTATTGATAATGGAGTATCGAGGGAATCATATGAGCCGCTCAGTGCACACATTGATTAACTCCATAAAACAAAAAGTTGAGAAATGCGATGAAGTAATGTAGATTCTTTTTTAAAATTCCTATTATAATATAACTTCAAATATATAATGTAGAATACATAAATACAGTTATAGTTTTCATCTAACGGTATATAAAATTAATAAGAAAGAATAGCCAAAAAATAATCGTCTGCATTTTATATCGACAAATGTTTTTGCAGGTATTAAATTTCCTCCCCTATTCCTGTATGCCAAACCTTTTGTTCCGTTATGCTTTTGTAAATTTCGTGCCCATTTATCAGGATTACGACTTCTTTTCCTCCCAATCGATGTGTTTGTTGGGGAATTTGTACCGTTGCAATCGGATGAATCCGAGAAACACGATAAACGTCTTCTTGCCCCAGACTTTCTGCTGATAAATCGTATTGAAGAATCATCCCTGCTTTCCACATCCACATTGTTATTAGTTTCACTCATCTTGATTATAACGGTATAATATTTAGTTCTTTAAAAACAATCAGGGAGTAATGTTGAAAAGACCAAAAAATATGTAGTCCGTGTAATATTGGTGAAGTATACGGTAACATTCAGCGTGAGAGATCACTGTTATACTAACTACCGTCTGCATTGCGCTTCTTTCTATCTGTTTGCTGATGCGATTTTATTACTCATATTGTTGAAAGGGGGAAAGCATCTTCGGCTGTTTAAAAAAAAAAGCGTCGATGTACGGCCGCAACAGATAATCCAATAATACTATACTGCCAGGTATTCGTCTACGATTTACATTAGAGTATGGAGTTAATCAAAATGGCTTCTGAAATAAATTACTTATTATTCAATGCCCAAAAAAATGTTGCCGTTTAATGGTGTTAATCTCTATTAATCAGGAAAGATATTATAAATATAAAAAGTTATGACTATACCAAGTGCTTTGACACCTAAATTTAAGATTTTTCAAAAAGTGGAGTTAGTCGATGTGTGCACTGAGCGGCTCATATAGGACGCGGTTAAATTCACTGCTCGGTTGATTTGACCTTTAGCGAGAAATTAAGTGCGCATTCCCGTACGTTGAAATTTACAGGGTAAATAATGTCTATACTTGGGTGAAATTTTAAACTTTACTTTACTTACCTTTCCGGCAGCACGAATTCCTTGGGGAGGCTTTGCGCAGGGCTGCAGATCTCTTCGAGCAGCTTGTTGCTCTCGGCTACTCCGCTTTCCCGTAATCCGTCGTAAATTTTGATCTTCGACTTGCATCCCGGCGCACTGAAAGGCGAGGCATTTACGGATGATTAGCACAACATTCCCCAAACCGCCGCAGAGTCGTAGAAAATTTATCAAACAAATTGGGGTCCCCGTGGAATCTCGCGCAGAGGTTAAATCCCGCAGATTAATCGGTTGTCACTACGTCCGCGCGAATAAATAATTAATTAGAGGATCATACAACCTACTAAATTTCCCGTACATTTTGAAGTCAAATCCAGCAAAGATCCCCCCGAAATTTTGATACCCACCCGATTACATTCAAATGATTAACCGAATGTAATTAAGCTGTACCCAAATCGGCATCTCGACAATCTGTACTCTATTTTCCACACCTACAAACGTTCCAAGCGTTGCACATGTCTTCGTCATAAATAAAACAACAATGCACTCGTTTTCAAAGAAAGAGCCCTAGTAGCTTAGAATAATTTCTAAATATTTCTTTATAATCTTTGCTGAATATCTCAAGCAACAGATTTTTTAAGATGTCTTGTAGATTTCTTTATATTAAAATGAAACGAAATGTTTTGTATATCCGTTAGAAAAATATTATGAAAACACACGGAGCTAATATTACACAAATGTTATAAAGATAATATCCTAAAGAAAACGATTTGCAAATATTTCAAATGTCTGCTAAATATTTACAAAATCTACGATATTCGTTAAATATATAGAAAATATGGGATAAATATATTGTGCTACTAGGGAGCCCATATAATTTGCTTATACTCGCATATTCGTCCACGAAGGCATTATATCGCAGACGACCGCATTGCGGCTGAGTGCCGTTAATTCCGCGTATATAACTATCACATCCTCTCGATGTATATAGTTATACCTATATGATCTTCAGATTCCCAACCCCCCGAAAATTTCAGGTAAATGCCGAGTTTTCGCGGGATTTCCAAATCCACGCTCCGACCGTGCGGAAGATTCGCAGCTTTCGTCCGGCCACGGCGGGAATTATTCCCGAGGGGTGGCGGGCGGTGGGTGGTGGGTGGCGGGTGTCCTTAACCCGACGAGCAATCCGGGCTCCGGCTCCGGCCGGTAGGGGCGTTATAAAAAAGGGTTTACCGATGTCAGGGATAGCCCGTTGACCCGGCGTAAACCGGAGGCGTCGCCTCCGCGAGGTGTTATAAAAGGGGGTTTACCGATCTTGCGAGAGGGGTCGATGGGCCGTTCGGGGGTGGCGCGCACCCCGGCTCGCCGGCCGATAGGGCGTCCCGTCGGTAAGACGAGGATGAAAATGAAATAAAAACGGGATCGCGGGCGCGTAAGAACGTAGCTGAGATAAAACGCGGATGGATAACACGGTGGACGGGGGTGGGGTGGTGGGGGTGGCGAGTGGGGGTGCCTCCGCGCACCCCCGAGCTCGCCGGGGGGCAAGATACACACAACTTATTTCCCGCCCTCGAACCTACTTTCCCGGCTCACTGGATCCCGGATTTACAATATTCTATTTGAAATTTATGCCGCCCTCAATAAAGTCTTCTTTGTCTTATGCCTCGCCCCCGGCTCTCGCGAGATCGACTTCCGGTCCCGCGACCTCGCCAACTCATCCCCGGCTGCGCCAGACCAGACGCTCATTCGCTGAATCTGAGATGAGCCTCCTTATCAATGTGTTTAAATTACGGAATTTCAAGTCACGGGACTTTCTGTGTTTGACTTCCCTCGTCGGCGAACGCAATCGTAACTTTGGCGGAGTCACCGATCAAGGATGCGAATTTGGGAATGGAAATGTCACGGTAAATGTGAAAATACGTTGCTTCTCGAGGTGGAACTTCTTTAGCCACGGCGGGGCGAGCTCGCTGCTTAGAGATTGGAATGAAACGAAAAGGTGAAACGCCGCGGAGGGACGTAATTTTAGGCGAGACGGGGAGAGGAAGAGCGCAACGTTTCCTTGTTTCCTTTCCATGTCGCGTCATCGGTGAGTTAGGGAGGATAGGGAAAGGAGATGGGGTGCTAGCGTCGCAAACTATCAGTGGAGCTAGGCTAGCGTGTTGCACCTTTTCGTTTCCTTCTCAGTTCCTCTACACTCGTGCAGTGAGCTTGTAAAATAATGTTGTTTCGTATATTTGTGTTATACCACTCATAACCTATTTCATGATACCGTAAATATGTATTATATTACGCATGTAAAGTGAAACGAATTGGCTTTGGACAACGGATTTTAAGAATTTGAAAAATTTGAAAATATATTATAATCTAACTTAAATAAATCTTTAATTCATCCCTTTGATTCCAGCAGTAGTTCCTTTCCTACGTATTCACCGGTAGACGTTTAACTTACAACGTGCGTGGCGGTCACGCATCAATTTTTTTCAGTTACCGTTTGTTCTTCCACTCTGTTCTTGTTTCGCGTTCATCGTGCCTCCTCGAAAGCTTTCCTGGTTGGGTTAGAGCTTGTAGGGTTCGTGTCTTTTCAGCTCGAGCCACCATTGGCCGCAGTCGGAACCAACCGAAGAATATGCCGCAGCTGGGGCCATTGTGTATGATAATTGAAAATATCGCCTACAGAGGGGCCATTTTTCTTCCTTTTTCCCCGGCCTTAAAGAACCACGTTCGTGCCTTTCCTGCGTGACCGAGCCTTGAAGAGTTCGCGTGACCAAAGCGGGCGCATTTGGAAAATAGCCGATGCAATATGGCCGACGGTGCAGAATTAATTGCCGTGCCATCTAAGGAAAAGCCCTGCGTGCCGACGTTTCAAATTCTCAGGGAATTCCGGAAGGAAACAAAGGAAGTTACCGACATCGAGATAAACTGGCATCGTTCCTTGTACTTTGTGAAACTAAACGACCGAGCTGTTGAGCGAAAGCATGTATGCAATCGAAATCCTTTGGTAAACGTCACGAGCATTATATACTTTCAACAATTTTATAAATGAAACTTGTAGGGATTTAATGGATGTTTATGATTATTTTTGCGACGTAGAGGGACCTGAAGACTATTTGTGATAACTGAAAGTATTAGGTATTCTACTGACGTTGTCCTTAGAATAAAGATGAACGCCACATCTAGGGCGTACCTGCTTGTATCTCGAGACTTTCTTTTTGTATCGACACAGAATCGAATCCGCATCCTTCCCGGAGGAAGCAATATTTTATTTATAAAGCTTCTGGCGCTCGTATTGATTGGCTATAACCTCCATGGCTCGGAGAGAGCGCGATTTCTTATCGGATAATGTGCCACGCGTTTCCCTTATACGAGCATCGATCCCAAAGGAATTCTCCAATGTCTTTGAACTTTCCCAAATGCGATGGAAATTCAGTTTAGAAGATTTATCCGCGTAGAATTTTTCACAACTCACGATTATATTCGGCCATTTGAATTTCTTTTATAAATAAATTTCTAAGAGCAATCGTCATTAGAATTGCCTAGTTAGAGCTGTTTCTATTGCCAGTAACGCCATTTGTAACTGTTAATTGTGCTGCTTTCTGTTTCAACTGATTTATTAATAATTAATTTAATTAAGCGGAAGGATTATTATCCTTACGTCAATTTGAAGTTACTTTCCCTGTCTTTCGAGAAAAAGAGTGAATGTTTAAAAAAAACGAATTTCGTAAATCGAAATTACTTCGGAACAGTTATCGTTAGAAAAGAAATACCGAAAAAACCATACCATTAATTTTAACCATTTTTGTATCGTAAATTAATTATTTCATCCAAAGAATTTGTACACACAATTATTTTTTCCTAAGCCTTCTAATTATTAAAATCTGTATGTAGTATACCTATCTCTACGAAACCCGTCAAATTGACGGACTAGCTAATTTCATAAACAATCCATATATATTTGCTTTGTTGCAGAGAGTGTAAGGCGAAGATGAGAGTGAAAGTTTGCATTGAAAGTGGAGAAATAGAAGGATCTTCGGATAGTGAAGAGGAAAACTTCTTGAAAGGGTGTCGTAGCAAGAAAAGGATGCGCATTGTTTCTAGTTCTGACTCCGAGGATGAGAGGACGAGCATTCCAATCATTTCCGTGATAATTTTTAAAAAAGGACTTTTTATTTATTAATAATTCATTTAAACGTAAAGCCTAGTGTTGTTTAATTCCGACTTAATTTGAATAAATCGATTTTTTAAAGAAAATGCGTGTTTTCGTTTACCCGTCAATTTGACGGATGCTCGTAGAAACAGGTATGTATAAAACTCCCGTAAACCTAGTGTTAACTTAGACATCCTCCTAGAAGAGAAGACGTTTATTTGCGGGGAGATAATTCACGTTCCTTGTGAGAATGAAGTAAAAGAAAGGCACCTCAGGGTTCGACGGCAATAAAAGGAACGAAAAGTGGAGGAGGAACTTCTTTCAGATGGAGCAGATAGATTCGCGGAGTGAGTTCTCACTCAAACGGGAGATTCCTCCAAGATCGAGGAGGATGAATGGAAGATTCATGCTCTCAACTTCTTAATATTATTGCGTAATAGCAAAGAGAAAGGAAAAATAAGGCTTCCGAAAAAATGTAAAGTTTATCGTATCCGGGTGAGTTTAATTGGCATTCTCGGGGAATCTTGAGAAGATCGCGTTTATTAACCACTGTCGTAATTGAACGATTGGTACTATCCTCGGGTTCAATTGCGGAGTCGGCGTAAAGGTACCGAGATGGATCTTTATTGCAACAAGCATAAAATATTGGAGTAGCACCATTCGACGAAGCTTTGAATAATTGGCTCGTAATCGTGAAACGGGAGAAGGCTCTTCCGGAATGTCTGACAATTAAGGAGCAATTATTTTCTTGATGGTACATTCTAAGGATACTTGCAGGGGGATTTAACTACTCCTGGTATTCCCCCATGATACCGATTCGACCCAACAGCACCTTTTGGTATTTTCTCGTAGGAAAGTCGCCCTCCCTTAATCGTCCTTAACATTTCTTCACTTTTTACATACACACATTCACAGACCTACGTTCGCACGTGTTCATTTCTAACATTTATACTCAGACAAAAAATCAATGCGAGAAGAGCTTTTACTTTTACTCGAATACTTTGAATAATGTCGAAGGATGATTTTCAATAGTCGTTTTACTGGCCAAACTGAAATTTCCATTGTAGTGACGGTAAGTTCCGAAAGGACAAGGCAATGGAAATGGGTATCATTATGGGCTTCGTAAATGAAGCACGAGGATTTACGGTTTACGGAACGTCGTTAAATCATCGGCAATGTTTACGATGGAAATTAACACGTGTGCAACGTAGGACGTTTGTTGGAACCTCGAAGAGGAGAAAAGCCAGTAAAACAGTTCCATTACCTAAGGTTAAAGCTGGCCAGCGAAACGTGAGCTGTATCGTAGGTGCGACCACGAAGCACGAGTCGGCATGTAATGTTCTTTTGCTTTTTTCTTGTGTCATGATGTCCGGCCCGGATTTTTTCTCCTCCCACGTCGAGATCGCAGCCCATTGTACCTTGGTCTTTTCGATGGTCGTTAAGGTCTCCATTAATGTATTGTTTGTTGAAGCTGCTACTGTTGGGCGATCTGATCATTTCTACTGCAAAAAATGGAGGACAGTGGTGATTAAACCCGCTTGATACCAAAACCTGAAGACAGGTTGAAAATTATAAATAAATGTAAAAGAACTGACAAACGCCTATTTAATAAGATAACAACCTAGGTATAATTACTGCGACAAGTAAATGTGTCAAACGATATGATTTTAGTTCATAAATATATTAGTACTGTGTACTATAATCAGGAAATGTTTTTTTTTTCATAGAAACGCCGTAAATATTTCTTGTCATTAGTAATAATTTCGCAGAGTCTGAGACCGTTCATTGTGTCAAAATGGATTCGAATATATTCTAGGAGGCAATTAGCCGGGAGTTTTATTAAAAAAGTATTGTGAAGTGGAGGATTAATTTTAAGTTACGAAAAGTTCTTACGAGTTTTGCTGGTGCTCTCTACGGTAACAGTGGTTTGTGGTTCGGTTGTGATTTCAACAAAGGACAAGGTCGCCACAAAACCGTTGTAGTCGAAAGGTGGCACTTCTGGCCCAGTTCTGAAATTGGGAATTTAATGATTAATTCGCGCGATAAACATGAGTTTATAAACTTAAAGTAAGGAAAATACAGCACGTTCATAATTTCAATAACAATGGAATTCAAGTGATGAGTTTCACTTGAATTCTGATCTGCTCGGTATCTACAAATCCCTGCGATGAAACACTTAGTCTATGTAGTTATTTAGGTTTTCTTTGTCTAACCTGGGAGTAACTTTTAGAAAGTTTCCTGTAAACCATCTCAATTGAAAAGTTACCCAAGTATTACGCGGGATTGAAACCCCATTTGCATGCGCTTCGTCGGTGTAAGACGAAGATCATTTGTAGAAGTTCAACGCAAAGTGTATCCGAAGTTTCCTTATTAAATTTACTGATCCTGATTAAGCTCCGGTCAGAGTGTTCAAAAATCCATGGTCTTACGCTGTATTTACCGAGGAGTTTTCTACAAAGTAGGAAACTTTACATTATTGTACAAATTAATAAAAACAGGGATTCATAGGTAAGACGCGGCACTTCATCTGGATTATGTTTCCAACGATATTTCACTATTCTAACCATAGTTTTACGATGATTTCAAACACTTACATTCATTTAGAAAATTGTAAGTCCTCTTTCTTTTCAATACAGATTATAATGAATGTTATCCATCTGGTCTAAGAGTCCGACCTTTTATTTTAGGCTTTCACCAAATTTGTTTTATTTCCTCCCTGTTCATTTCCAGGCTAATGATCACGTTAACAAAGTGCCATGAAAGTCTGAGAAAAAATGTACCTGAATTCTATTAGTAGATTCGGTCCGGTGTGAACGATGGAGGTCTTTTTGTTTCCACAGAGCATCGTGAGTAACGGGCTGGATATCGTGGATCCGGAATAAACGGCGATATAGTCGCTGGTACAGTGACTGAAACAGAAAAGAACCACTTTATTTAAACACAGATTCCCGTAAATTTCCCTTCTGGTTAAAGTCTAAGTTACGTTTCCGATGATCCAGTCTAGACGAGCCTGGGATCCCGAAACCGATGTACTTCGTTCAAGTTTCGCCATTAAGGCAATATGCAACATCGCGGGAAGGACACCTCGAAGCTCGGAGCGAATTAGGAAGTATTCCTACGATTTATTTTACGAGGGAACTTCATCGCTCCTTGGGACTGCGCCTTTCCCCTAAATCCTGAAGTCTGGTATAGTCCTTGTGGCACGAAAATCTTTCGAAGCGATGGCGGCAGGAAAATCACGGCGGCTTCGCGGAGAGAATAGGGAAACCGGGATGATGGATTCCCGTGGAAAGAATCGTCCGTCGTTAACATTTTCGAGCTCTTTAGTTCCGGTTATAATGAAAATAAACGGGCCTTGTTATTCCCCGCGGCGGGAAAATTTACCTCGGAGAGTACGGGGAACTGATTTCGCAAAAGAACTACGTGAGCGATTTTCTTTGTCGAGCTTTACCTCAGAGGTAGGTAAGGCGTACCGTAAACTCTCAAAGTAACTATCAAACCAAAAAGTGTTTAAATTAAGAATCTTAAGATGTAACATCAATCTATAAGATGCATAAGGATGACATTTATAAAATACTTAGGTTGACGTTCAACGTTTGGGCGGCGGATCTGCGAGGAAGCTTAAGTTTCAGCTGTGGAAAGGTCGCTGGGAGTTTTCCGAGTCGCAGCGTTGAGTAAAGCGAGTAAATCGTAAAAACGTCGAAGCGTCTGTCCCGTTTCTCGCAGCAAGTAGGCGCGATCGGATTTAATCGTAGAGTCGGATAATAGAGACGCCGGCGCTCACCGGGGTGTGTTTTTTCCTTCGGTGGCGCGTCTCTCCCCGGGGACAATTTAGGCGGGAACAGACGTAATCCCATCGATTTTTCGGCGGGCCGATTTTCCGCGAGAGAACTGGAAACTCATCCGGATCAAGCAGCCTTCTACCGCATCGCGCTCCGCACCCTCGACCTCTTTTGGCACGGGCTCCATTTTTGAATAAACGCGACGGCCGCCTCCATCCCCGACATGGACCGCGGAAATAGTTTTACGCCATTTTCTGCCCGAACGGTAGGAAAATCGGATTCCTCCGGCTCTATTTCGCACGATCACGGTGCAAGCCGAAAAAAAAGTGCTCGAGCCTCGGCCGCCATTTGTAATGGCGGTCCCACTAAGGGAGTACCGCCCGATTCCGGCTATTGTCCCCCATTTGCATCCATTTCCACCAAATTGCCGATTTCTCGACCAGCAGTTGCCAAGTGCTTTCCAGAGTGCCTTTATTTCATAAATGCGTTTTGCCTCTTCTCGCCGATGCACCAAAGAAAATCAAAATGGCGTCGCATTAAAAATACCTACATTATTACTAGTCACTATAAATTGTCATAAGGTGATGTTTAAAAATGCTCAATACACGGTCAAGCCGAAAGAGTAATACAATTCATCATGTTCGCTATTCCTGTAGAATTTTTTATTACCAATATGGCACTCTACTCATTTTAATATAGCGTTAAAATGAATAGCGTTATGGCGACATCCGTGGCCATTCAATTGTCATTATACAGATGTTCTGGTTTTAAAACCTAATTTAATTCTTATTATTTTTTGAATGTTACAACTACGATGTAAAGTTAACGTTAAAATAAACGTAAATCCAACTTTTCACCGACGAGTGATGTCTGGAGATAGTATATCGGGCAAAATTGATGACAGCCGGGATCGATCCAGTTAGGACCTTAATCTTTTAGTACTACCATCCATTATGTTGATAATGCCTTAGCTTAGCAACGCTGAGACGTTATCCAGTAGAAAGGATTAGACCTCACTATCCTTGTACATATGTGCAGGAAATCGGAGAAATACGGGCAGCGCACCCACTGTTCTAATGCATGTTTATAAATTGAATAACATTAATTAAACGGAAGAAATGTACAGTAAAAAATATCTCATCATAGCATTATTACCGAAACATTTAAACTGTGCCCCCATTATGCATCTACCACATGTATAACACGATTATAATAATTTTATATCAGGGGATTTACAGCGGATACGCAACAACACGTAATGAATAAGATTAGTAACAAATATTATTATCTATGCTAAAGGTGGAGATTATGACGTTTGCCGCGTGATTTTCCGTTTAAGTAGTTTTTAATAACGCAATTGATAGGCTATTACTTAATTTCATTAGTAAGTCTAGTATTGCACGATTGAATGCTCGTTAGTCGCGGCAGGATTTTATTTCAAAGATTAATGACTTCATGATTTTTCATTCTCAAGAAGGATCTCGAGGCCATATTTTTAAGAAGGCGATGAAAATAGAAAGGATATTAACCGCGATATCGGTCGAGTGCAGGAAAGCAGGAAGATGATGGAAGATGCACGAGAGATGGCAGGGAAGCCATTAAGATGACGTTAATTAAACCCAGGGGAAAACCGTGGGGTCTGATAAGAGGAAAAATTCACAGTGGGTTTTTCGTTTAACAGAACGAGTGGTGACCTTTTACCAAATACCCAACGAAAATTGCTTTGCGCAAACTTTGACATATTTTATAAAACTTCATTAACCTTTCGTAGCCTTTTGTCTCATTTGATGACTTTCCCCATTTTTTCACGTTTCCTTTACCGTCTATCTTTGACTGCATCATCAGATGCAAGGATCTCACTTGTCGGATTAAAAGCTATGGAAGATATCACGGTAGTCACACCTAAAAACCATGAAATTCAGGAACCAATGTATATGGGTCGTGTATGGTACGGTACACGTGTAATGTATTTCTTTAAGTATAAGGCAAAAAGCATCGGTGTACTTTCGGGGGTAATTTAATGTCATTATTTAGCGTCACGTGGACATGTGTCTCCCTTAAAGAAACACTTGCCACAGTATATGCCACGAAAAGTGGATTTACGAGCTTTGCGACAAAGTTTGCGACGCGCCGGTGAACCCGTGAGGGTTTAACGATCGCATCGAGACCTCTGGGTAATTAGTTTCGGAAAATTAATGTCATTATTTAACGTAATCAGATATTATCGGCGCGAGTGGAGGGCACCTCTCGGGATCTAGTCTTGTTTATTAAACGTGTGGAGGATCGAGCATTACGCAAATTTTCGCGACTCGCGATCTCTCGATGACGTACGAATCTCGATTAGGCTAGCAAGAGCGCAACCGACTAATTGTAAGTACCGCGGTCTGGTATTAGTTACGCCTATCGGTGCATAGCGCTGCACTAATTAAGCACAACTACGCGAGGTGACTGCACTGCCCGGTAATGCAACCCTAATTACACAGACAAATGTGCGCCGATAATGGATTCATCGCGATATTAGGTTGTCCCCTGTTCACAAATTCTACCTGTACTTTACGTACAATTTCCTTTTCAATTGCATAATCTAGGTACAACCTAAATTACATTGATGGGCCAAATAAACCTCATTTTAAACAATTTTTCTTTCACACGTACGTTTGATACTACACGTTTCTTATTATTTTATGCATTATTTTGGGGTTACGGTAAATATATCGTTTAAGGACGTTTTCACTTGAAATTCAATTGGGTTTAATTTGATTAAATTTAATCGTTAATATTATAGCGCCATTAAGGGAAAGTACGATATATAACGAATCGACGTATATAATACTGCCTCCAAACTGCAGCAGACTGTAGGACCGTATTAAGAAAATAATTAAAGATACACCCTCGAAGAGTGCCTCGCCCTTTAACTTAACCAGACGGCTCTCACTTTGCAAGTTTGCTCTTCAAAAGACGAATTAAGGCATAAATTAAGGCGCAGCAATGAGTTTGGGCGAGGCAATTTTAAACAAATTAGTATCTGTCTGACGCTTTCCGTGGGTTTGTCTTGAATTCAAAGTGCATTAGTGTCGGCTTCCATAACAAATTTTAATATAAGTGGAACGGGTCAAAGGGGGATCAGCCCTCTTCTCAAAGTCTTCGAGATGACGTGGGGTCAAGAAACCATTTCGCAAGACGTATTAGCCGGGTTTCAGGGAGAAACAAGTTACCAGGGGATCCTAGGGTTCAAAGACTGAGGGTCAAAGACTTATCCACTCGCGAAGAAGGGTGGAACGAGATTGCTAATAACGGGCGAGAAAGTGGAGGCAAACAAGGGCAAAACTCTATCGAGTGGTTCACGAATAATTCGTATATATTAAATGTACTTTCCGTTCCGCAAATTGACCTAACAGTCTAAGATTACAATATCTTCGTACTTTAAAGAAAATTATAAAGGAACTTAAACATCAAGTCTTGTCAAGTTTCATTTAAATAACGTTATTTTATATTTTAATGTCTATTATTTCAGTGTATATCCTATGGAATAAATTAATTAAAAAATGGGAAATTTTTACGCGACGCTGTATAATTCGCATATTTCGAATTCTTCCAATGAAGTGGGAGGTCGTTTGGACAGTCAAAAAATTGTATTCTTTTCAAGGTGATTTATTTGAGATAAAGGGACTATTCATATGGACAAGATGTATATGAAAATTGTTACGGATGTCATATTCTGCATGTGTACCAATTTGTAGCGGTTCATTTCATGTCATAAGTCGTCGCGCTATGTCTCGATCGAGACTTCAGAGTGCAGTAAAAGTTTATCGGGACGTTGCACTCTCGTTAATTACGAAAATTTCTCCGGTGCATATTTCTACGGTACTGGTCTGGCGGTTCTTCCATACAATTTTCCAAGGGTCCGAGCTCATCGAGTGGAAGTCGTTTTGCGAAATGTTCGCCCCGACGTGTACGGTTCCCTTAATCCTATTCTCCTCGTCTTCCTCTCGTAACCTTGGAGACACGAGCTTACCCCCTTCGCCTTCGGTTGCATCTATCGATTTGGTTTGATAATCTCGAGAGGGTTGCATGTAGGAGGAATTGGTTATTCCGTAATAATTCCTCTCAGCCCGAACCCGCGGGATATCGCGGGAATGTTCGAGCTTGTTTAAAGGAAACTTCATTAAGCGCACATTTTTCACATTTTACGGGGACATAAAATGGTATGGAAAATTCTTAGCTAATTGAGGCGCCGCTTAAGGCACCCCTCAGAAATCCCCTTGAGAAGCTAACACAGTTAAAGGTCGTCTAAAAGTGCATATAAAACATCTATTCAAGATAGTCCGAAAACAAAGTGGTATTTTTACCATTATTGTAAGTTTCATCTTTGATATCTGTGGAATAAAAGATACCGTCGTCAATGCATTTTGGGTTCATCTTTATTTTGTTGAAATGCATGTTGATTTGGCTAGAAAATTCTTACGGGTAGCTGAAGGTCTTTTCTTTGGCAATTCGTTCTCGACTTTGGCCAGAGACATAAGGGTAAGGTTTAGGGGATGACAGCGGTCGACGACGTCGAGGGTTGCGAGCAGAATACTCGACGAGGGTTGAGGGTGTCTGCCGGCCTATTACTTGGATTAGCATTATTCGCATTTTTATCCCTCCGAGGAGTTACCATAAAGCCACAGCCTTTTCTACCCCTGGACGTTTCTTCCCCCCGCGGACTCCAAACTTTTTTGATATCACGCTTCTCCGAAGTAATGGACGACCATAAGTTTCGTCACCAGGGTGAAATGTACGTGGGACCATGTGCGAATTACAACCACAACCCTTATCCGTTTGCACCCTTGCTGACGATTTTGATAACGTGCCTGAGATAACTTTCCACATTTCCAAACTACGAGGCTTTGCTTTCAAATCGCGGCATTTTCCTTCCCTTTTCGTTCCCTCTCTTGTGTGAATTTGGTGACCCACGACGAAACGATTATTACTAACTGACAAATGTTCGACTGATATTCTACTTTCTGTAATTCAAGAAAAATGTTGAGGTGGCTTTCTACAGTTTTTCTGAAAATTAGAACCTATTAGGTGTAGAGTTGCATTTAATTTTAATACCTGTTATATACGCTACATTGAGGTAGATTAGATAATTAAAGCATTGCAGAAAACAAACAAGGGAGCATTAAATATATTATTTAATATTTATGAATTTTCGTTTTAATCGACGACTCTGGCAGGTGAAATAATTAAGGGTGACGTACAATTAAAGACGAGGTTCTGGATTGATTACAACGAGAACGTCACGTTCAGACGTAGCAGAAGTTCAATGAAACGCGATAAATAGTAGCCATATTAATCGAGGAATTATGCAATTTTTAACGGTTTAACAGATTGAATAGCTGCGCTCCGCGCATTCAATTCCGCCCAATTCACAGGGAAAACGTGGGGCGAAACGGTAGATTAAATTTATTGATCGATAACAATCGTAAATTAACGTGTGCGTTTAACATTTGCCCCCGAGAATAATTTAAATTCGTTAGCGGGGATAATATGTAGTTGCGAGCAACCGGCAATGCATACGTAATCGCCGGAAGAAAATATACACAGGGATAAAATTACAGTATATTATATTCTCCCGGAAATTAATTTTTGCTATTAAATACACGGCCATCGTGTGCCATCATATTCTTTAAATATCCCATAACACGCCCATATAATATCGCTATTATATAATTTTATTTACACGGTGAGATAAAATCGCGTTCACGTTCACCCGATTGAATAAACGGACCGCAAAACATTGCACAATTCCATCGATATATCCTCTCGTGCGAAAATGTACATAATCAACCATCGGATAAATTTTCTAAAAGGCTGGCAGTCATATCGCCAAATGCCCCACGTGTTTCTCTTTCCCAGAGTTGCGATCAAAAAGCTGTCGGCAATCAGTGCGGTCCGACGATGTTTGCCAATATGGAAATTTGACAGTTCCCATGGCACAGTGGGTCATATTTAATTCGAGTGGTCGTGCATCGCGCCCTCGAATCTTCACATCGCCGATGAAATTTATTCACTGACCCCCGCGCTCATTGGCCATCTCTAAAAATTAATCGCGTCATTTCCGCCCGGCGATATTCGGTTTCCGCCATCGCCGGCAATATTTAGCTAATCGGATCAAGAATGTCAATGCGCCGGGGATGGAGTTAATGCGGATTCCGTGTGCACTCGTGTAATTGACATATCCCGGTGGGTTCCTTTTTGACGTGCTTTGAAACGTTACCGCTAATACGTTTACTCTGTATGGCCTGACTTTGCGTGCCTAAACGTACACGAAAGACCCCACAGGCACAGAGAATGTCGCGATAGATGGTAATAGACTCCGTTTGAAGCTGGCAACCCTTTTCAGCTAAACTAAGAGGTGGCGCTTCCGCGAATGGCAATTTCGATTTGACGAATTTGCGCAAACGATGGTACGCCTAGGTAAAGGTCCATTGAACGGAATTATTCCGCCGGCTACTAGCAATAACTAAGCAAATGTTTACGAAATTATTCGGTAGGCAGGGGAATGGTTAGCTCGGGCTGAATGCCGTTAAAATAATGGAAATGTATTCCGGACGCACGGTTGAAATATATTCGGTAAGTATGCAAAACACGAGAGCACGGCCTGCCCCGAGAAACTTTGTTATGTATTTTCTGCAGCTCTCAGGTGTTTAAACATACGGGGAAATTTCTACGGCACTCGATGGAAAAGTGCGGACAATCTGGCCGTTTCGTTCATCGAGTCACGTATCGCGGAATTGGCTGGTGGAGGCGATCGCGTCGGCCAAGAGAGTTTCATTTCGGCTTAGCGGCTCTGAAACGCGGCCTTAAAAGGTGCTTACGAGTCGGGAGGAAAAGTTGTCCGAGGATAAAAGCTCGTGCAACGGAGTGGCATCCGTGTCGGGTCGAGGAGACACTGGAGGAAGTATGCCTTATCTTTATGCTTTACACTCTATAACGTTTATTAAAAGCGCCCCGGGCTTCTGACCGAGCATTTGTGCCGCCGCGGAAGCTCCTTAAGCTTTTCCAAAATCAGCCCGGAAAAGTGGAGAGGTCGTCGGGGCTCGCCCAGTCGTTAGTGCCTCTTTAAAACGTCACCCGTCATTATTTTAATTGATCCCTTAATTAATTATTTCTGGGTCGAGATTACTATCCGCATTTACCGCGCATTCGATTTGCAGCTTGACTTTGTAATTTCGCTAAAGGGCGATGAGAAATATCGCTTTATCGACCTTAAGTTCGATTTATAAATGTTATAGAAAATTCGGGTTAACTTGTATTTTATTTATCAGAGTGACTGGTGCTGGGTGCTTTTTCTTTTGTGATGTTATTTGTAATCTCGCGTTTGAATGCAGACTTTGGGGTCTTTGGTGATGGGGTGAGCTCGAGTGGGCCAATAAATTGGGCATTCGGTGAAAAGGTTTCGCGACGGTAGCGAAATCAATTACCGAGGCCATTTTAGATTTTCAAGTTCCTCGACTGTATAGGTATTCGCAATCCGAGGCACTCGGTATTTGCCTATGCAAAAGAGGCAAGAGTCAAGGGGAAGCAGCTCCGAAGTCTCATCTAGTCTAGATTCAGGGCAAGATTTTGGCTTCGAATCAACTTGGCGGTCCTTTCGGGAGCGCCGAAGGAAGCGCATTTAAAACTCCGAGGAAAATAATCGACCCCCCGTGGAAAGAAGGCAACTCGGCCGAATCCGAATTAACGGAAGTCACTACCTTCGAGTTCGGAAACTCTTTTCGAAGTTTCCGCCGCGGGGAAAGGATTGAATTGGTATCGTGCCGCATCGGCGGCCAAGTTGAAGGCGGCCAAATTAAACGGCAGATTGGCTCACTTATCGCGAGAAGAAAAGTCCACTGAATAAGACTCGAGAAGACTGAAGTTTCCTCTGACTCAGCAGTGAGATTTTTCTGTTTTCCGGAGAGTTTCTATCGATCTTTACTTCAGTATAAACAGCAATTTGATTTACAATACCGCAGATACACTTCGTTCATGCATTCCCAGAAATTAATTATTAGTTATTTCCCCTCGAGCTCAGTCTCCTATGCCTCTGGTTATCAATTATTATTGAGAGTTGTAATACAAATTTATTGTGAAATTTATTGTCCTTTCGGTAATGAAATTGATATCATTTCTGCATGAATTTTAATAGATCAGATCAGTACTCGACAGAAAGCATTGTAGGGTGGAAACTTTGACAATTCTTCTGATTTGGCAGGGTAAAATCTTTCTGGTCTCCAAAAAGTTGAAACAATTAGAATCAGGGCTCTCGGTGGACTAAAATAAAAATTGAAAAGAGCGGTAGACTCGGATAAAGTCAGTTTCATAATGACTGAGTTTATATTCATGTACACCGGACAACAAGGTCTATGTTTTCATTTCTTCACATTTGTGCCTCTTGCATAATTTTTACTTTCTCGGAATTAGCGCTGTAAATTGAAGTCCGTTTCGTTTTGGAATCTGTTTTGTCAATTTCAGAATCTACGAATAATTCTATTTGCAGGGAAAATAAAATTGAACGAATAATTCCTTTCTGCCGTACAAACGACTGTTTTGTTTGCTACATTTCTTCTGTAAGATTTCCTTCTAACGTCCAATTAACTAAATTTAACGAGATTTGGAAGTAAATATGTAAAGTTCAGGCACAATGTGTTAATAAAAGTCGTCGAAACGAGTTGTTCCACCTTGTTGAATTAGTTCGAATTTGCACGCAGAGGGGGACATTGGAATGCTTTGATAAAATTCCGAGCCGAAAAGCTTTCTCTACATTAATTAGCATTGCTTTCGCTTTCATTGCAGTCACATTTGGACTTGGCATAAGCAAATCTGTTCTTTCTTTAGGGAAAAACTTAGAGGTTGACGAAAATCTACTAATATAACCTACTCATTTGAAAAGTGCATATCTAGACCACATAGGATTCGTTCAACCCGGGTCCATTTCCACCCTGCGTTCCATTCCCTTTTGATCATTTCCCTCCGCACTCGACCCGAAAGAAATTCTGAAAATGATCCGGACGATGTCTCGAGTCGGGAAAGGGCCACTTTGTGAAAAGACGCGGAAGTAAAGGGCGCGAATAGAAAAAGATGGTTCGGGACGCAGCCGGAAGGCGCAGGGGAGAGAAAAGGAAGCGGAAAGGAAGCGGAGAATATATTTCTGGAGTCCTGGCAGGACGGTTCGTGCCGTGCGATTTCCGCAGGACGTCCTATTTCCCGTGACGGTTACCCTCGTGAGATAAAGGCGAACCCATTTCCATCGGGGAAAGGAAACGCCCGTGAACAATTCGATATTTGCGCCCGACGGTGGCCGTCGATCGTCTCCACGGTAGTCGAGACGAGAGGGATGAACGTTCCATAAAAGGAGCTTCCAAGGGGTTCCCGTAGGTTCCGGAGGAACGACTCGTTCCTCCCGAAATGTTCAAAGATTATATTTACCCCGCTTTAATGCAACGAGTCGTGGCCCTTTCTACTCCGCTCTTTCTCTCTCCCCTAATTCCGT